ATCTTGTGCGAGGGTAGGGACCCAGATGTCGTTTCTAACCCAAATAAACTTTAAGGAGGCTTCTCATCAGTAGCCGCACCTCCTTACTCGGTTTCTGAACTGGAATTCTATGGGCTTCCAGACGGCCAGACCGAGTATTACCATCCCATCCTTCTAGAGTTCATCACAAGTAGCACCCACCTTGAAGATCTTTGACACCCAGACACACCCCATTGGCGAACAAACTTTGGATATAATCTTACATGCTCCCGAAGGAATCCCTGGTTTATGGTCTTTCTCATCGTCACCAGCACTTTCACTAGGTCACCAGCTCTTTCACTGAAGTCATCAGCCCTTTCACTGAAGTCATCAGATGTGACTCTGATCAACGGTATAGTTGTGGACACAACAAGAAAATTGAGAATAATCTTGTGCGAGGGTAGGGACCCAGATGTCGTTTCTAACCCAAATAAACTTTAAGGAGGCTTCTCATCAGTAGCCGCACCTCCTTACTCGGTTTCTGAACTGGAATTCTATGGGCTTCCAGACGGCCAGACCGAGTATTACCATCCCATCCTTCTAGAGTTCATCACAAGTAGCACCCACCTTGAAGATCTTTGACACCCAGACACACCCCATTGGCGAACAAACTTTGGATATAATCTTACATGCTCCCGAAGGAATCCCTGGTTTATGGTCTTTCTCATCGTCACCAGCACTTTCACTAGGTCACCAGCTCTTTCACTGAAGTCATCAGCCCTTTCACTGAAGTCATCAGATGTGACTCTGATCAACGGTATAGTTGTGGACACAACAAGAAAATTGAGAATAATCTTGTGCGAGGGTAGGGACCCAGATGTCGTTTCTAACCCAAATAAACTTTAAGGAGGCTTCTCATCAGTAGCCGCACCTCCTTACTCGGTTTCTGAACTGGAATTCTATGGGCTTCCAGACGGCCAGACCGAGTATTACCATCCCATCCTTCTAGAGTTCATCACAAGTAGCACCCACCTTGAAGATCTTTGACACCCAGACACACCCCATTGGCGAACAAACTTTGGATATAATCTTACATGCTCCCGAAGGAATCCCTGGTTTATGGTCTTTCTCATCGTCACCAGCACTTTCACTAGGTCACCAGCTCTTTCACTGAAGTCATCAGCCCTTTCACTGAAGTCATCAGATGTGACTCTGATCAACGGTATAGTTGTGGACACAACAAGAAAATTGAGAATAATCTTGTGCGAGGGTAGGGACCCAGATGTCGTTTCTAACCCAAATAAACTTTAAGGAGGCTTCTCATCAGTAGCCGCACCTCCTTACTCGGTTTCTGAACTGGAATTCTATGGGCTTCCAGACGGCCAGACCGAGTATTACCATCCCATCCTTCTAGAGTTCATCACAAGTAGCACCCACCTTGAAGATCTTTGACACCCAGACACACCCCATTGGCGAACAAACTTTGGATATAATCTTACATGCTCCCGAAGGAATCCCTGGTTTATGGTCTTTCTCATCGTCACCAGCACTTTCACTAGGTCACCAGCTCTTTCACTGAAGTCATCAGCCCTTTCACTGAAGTCATCAGATGTGACTCTGATCAACGGTATAGTTGTGGACACAACAAGAAAATTGAGAATAATCTTGTGCGAGGGTAGGGACCCAGATGTCGTTTCTAACCCAAATAAACTTTAAGGAGGCTTCTCATCAGTAGCCGCACCTCCTTACTCGGTTTCTGAACTGGAATTCTATGGGCTTCCAGACGGCCAGACCGAGTATTACCATCCCATCCTTCTAGAGTTCATCACAAGTAGCACCCACCTTGAAGATCTTTGACACCCAGACACACCCCATTGGCGAACAAACTTTGGATATAATCTTACATGCTCCCGAAGGAATCCCTGGTTTATGGTCTTTCTCATCGTCACCAGCACTTTCACTAGGTCACCAGCTCTTTCACTGAAGTCATCAGCCCTTTCACTGAAGTCATCAGATGTGACTCTGATCAACGGTATAGTTGTGGACACAACAAGAAAATTGAGAATAATCTTGTGCGAGGGTAGGGACCCAGATGTCGTTTCTAACCCAAATAAACTTTAAGGAGGCTTCTCATCAGTAGCCGCACCTCCTTACTCGGTTTCTGAACTGGAATTCTATGGGCTTCCAGACGGCCAGACCGAGTATTACCATCCCATCCTTCTAGAGTTCATCACAAGTAGCACCCACCTTGAAGATCTTTGACACCCAGACACACCCCATTGGCGAACAAACTTTGGATATAATCTTACATGCTCCCGAAGGAATCCCTGGTTTATGGTCTTTCTCATCGTCACCAGCACTTTCACTAGGTCACCAGCTCTTTCACTGAAGTCATCAGCCCTTTCACTGAAGTCATCAGATGTGACTCTGATCAACGGTATAGTTGTGGACACAACAAGAAAATTGAGAATAATCTTGTGCGAGGGTAGGGACCCAGATGTCGTTTCTAACCCAAATAAACTTTAAGGAGGCTTCTCATCAGTAGCCGCACCTCCTTACTCGGTTTCTGAACTGGAATTCTATGGGCTTCCAGACGGCCAGACCGAGTATTACCATCCCATCCTTCTAGAGTTCATCACAAGTAGCACCCACCTTGAAGATCTTTGACACCCAGACACACCCCATTGGCGAACAAACTTTGGATATAATCTTACATGCTCCCGAAGGAATCCCTGGTTTATGGTCTTTCTCATCGTCACCAGCACTTTCACTAGGTCACCAGCTCTTTCACTGAAGTCATCAGCCCTTTCACTGAAGTCATCAGATGTGACTCTGATCAACGGTATAGTTGTGGACACAACAAGAAAATTGAGAATAATCTTGTGCGAGGGTAGGGACCCAGATGTCGTTTCTAACCCAAATAAACTTTAAGGAGGCTTCTCATCAGTAGCCGCACCTCCTTACTCGGTTTCTGAACTGGAATTCTATGGGCTTCCAGACGGCCAGACCGAGTATTACCATCCCATCCTTCTAGAGTTCATCACAAGTAGCACCCACCTTGAAGATCTTTGACACCCAGACACACCCCATTGGCGAACAAACTTTGGATATAATCTTACATGCTCCCGAAGGAATCCCTGGTTTATGGTCTTTCTCATCGTCACCAGCACTTTCACTAGGTCACCAGCTCTTTCACTGAAGTCATCAGCCCTTTCACTGAAGTCATCAGATGTGACTCTGATCAACGGTATAGTTGTGGACACAACAAGAAAATTGAGAATAATCTTGTGCGAGGGTAGGGACCCAGATGTCGTTTCTAACCCAAATAAACTTTAAGGAGGCTTCTCATCAGTAGCCGCACCTCCTTACTCGGTTTCTGAACTGGAATTCTATGGGCTTCCAGACGGCCAGACCGAGTATTACCATCCCATCCTTCTAGAGTTCATCACAAGTAGCACCCACCTTGAAGATCTTTGACACCCAGACACACCCCATTGGCGAACAAACTTTGGATATAATCTTACATGCTCCCGAAGGAATCCCTGGTTTATGGTCTTTCTCATCGTCACCAGCACTTTCACTAGGTCACCAGCTCTTTCACTGAAGTCATCAGCCCTTTCACTGAAGTCATCAGATGTGACTCTGATCAACGGTATAGTTGTGGACACAACAAGAAAATTGAGAATAATCTTGTGCGAGGGTAGGGACCCAGATGTCGTTTCTAACCCAAATAAACTTTAAGGAGGCTTCTCATCAGTAGCCGCACCTCCTTACTCGGTTTCTGAACTGGAATTCTATGGGCTTCCAGACGGCCAGACCGAGTATTACCATCCCATCCTTCTAGAGTTCATCACAAGTAGCACCCACCTTGAAGATCTTTGACACCCAGACACACCCCATTGGCGAACAAACTTTGGATATAATCTTACATGCTCCCGAAGGAATCCCTGGTTTATGGTCTTTCTCATCGTCACCAGCACTTTCACTAGGTCACCAGCTCTTTCACTGAAGTCATCAGCCCTTTCACTGAAGTCATCAGATGTGACTCTGATCAACGGTATAGTTGTGGACACAACAAGAAAATTGAGAATAATCTTGTGCGAGGGTAGGGACCCAGATGTCGTTTCTAACCCAAATAAACTTTAAGGAGGCTTCTCATCAGTAGCCGCACCTCCTTACTCGGTTTCTGAACTGGAATTCTATGGGCTTCCAGACGGCCAGACCGAGTATTACCATCCCATCCTTCTAGAGTTCATCACAAGTAGCACCCACCTTGAAGATCTTTGACACCCAGACACACCCCATTGGCGAACAAACTTTGGATATAATCTTACATGCTCCCGAAGGAATCCCTGGTTTATGGTCTTTCTCATCGTCACCAGCACTTTCACTAGGTCACCAGCTCTTTCACTGAAGTCATCAGCCCTTTCACTGAAGTCATCAGATGTGACTCTGATCAACGGTATAGTTGTGGACACAACAAGAAAATTGAGAATAATCTTGTGCGAGGGTAGGGACCCAGATGTCGTTTCTAACCCAAATAAACTTTAAGGAGGCTTCTCATCAGTAGCCGCACCTCCTTACTCGGTTTCTGAACTGGAATTCTATGGGCTTCCAGACGGCCAGACCGAGGTGATATTTTAATATCATTAGCCATTATTGCTGCTAGGACAATAACATCTTTATCTCCAACTTTATCTCCAATATCTCAATTTAGTCATCGTTCGAACTTCGATGTACGTATTGCCATGTTGTTACTTTAAAATTACCTCATTGAAGAATTGACATTTTGTATAGACTTTTAAGAAGCCGTATGTTTGTTTTTACCATCAGAAATTAACTTTAAATAATGTCCTTGAAGGTTGTTGAATTGTGAATTAGCTGTAAATTGTCAAATTGAGTTGATGCAGTTTGCTAATTAGAGTTATTAAATGTTCATAATACCAGTTAAATCAAGTAGGGACTAGGTAATTCGAACAACCCGCTTTCATTGAGCAGTCTCTATTTTTAATTCCTTTAATTCTCTAACTATTTATTCACAGGTTCGACCTAGTTGAGTTGGGAACGCATGTTATTGAGAGATTACAAGCGTTAACAAGCAAGGTGACTCAGTTGCAGACTCTGCACATCTCAGAAAACGAGTGAGTTTACCTATTTAATTAGTTAAATTAATTAGTTAATTAGTTAAACCTGAGCTCATCTTAAGTGCGATGAGTTTTCGGAATTTTATTTTATTTTTTATATCGTCCAATTCAATAGTATCTAGGTAAAATCTAAAAACATGATGAACAGTGAACACGTGCAAATAGCTATATTTAGATTACACACACTTGCTATTGTACACACTTTTGGTTTTACCCGTGACCACTGGTCATGTAATAATTTTACCAGAAAGTCTAAACTTACAGTCGTACTTAAAATGCTAACCATTAATGTCGTAAGTCGTTGCGCAATTTAAATTTCTGTATTATATATTATATAATGCGCATTCCACTATCTATATAATATAACATATATCATTAAGATAGTACTTTCGTTTTTGTAATTTTCCATCGTAATCTGTGTTATCAACTCCTTGAATAGGATCTGTCTATGATACTACATTATCTTCCATTCTTGCGCAACAGTTTCACTCCTAATAATCGAGCATTATATTAGTGTGGCACCTGTGTTTATTACACGGTACTAATAAAAATGGATCGGTTAGTATGAAATGCATGTCTTCATTCCTGTTGGACAAGCACCACAAGCACAAGCTTTTAGTTCTAACTCACTATGTGACACGACTTATATAACGTAAGCAAGATTTGCAACTATTACACCAAGCTTTATTATTCATGCATAGCAGGACGAACACATCCACATTCGTTACGCTTTTTCACTCAAGTCACACCAACTAAAACGGTAAATTATAAATGAGTGTACAACTAAAGGCCGGTACACGCGCAGTGTCAACCGCAGGTGCGTACTCAGATAGGATAGAGTCGCCCCGGGCTGCTTGTAAAATGTCTTCTACTCATCATACATCTTTTTAATTGGTTCCATTATCGGGTTTCAAAACAATGTCTAAACAAAATAGCGTTTGTGGTTTAGTTAGCGGGTTGCTGTTATCTTTGCTTTTATAAATAGAAATACCTTCTACAACTTCAAGCAAGCCTTTTGGTTACATTTAACTATTATTATTAAAAGAGTATTATTTCGTAAACTTTAGGCTAATTCTGTGCACCAAAGATACCGCTCTACTCAAACGCCAAAGGTAACACGACGTCGTAATTAAACAGAATAGAACAATGTTTGACACGAGCAAGGGTGCGTGCGCACGTGGTCTTACACATAAGTGACGTCACAGCCCAAAGTTGCGATCAGCCAATAGGGCGCGGCGTTGTATTGCACGAATTATCGGATTCCAGTCGGCGTATTTTTTGATTCTACCTCTTTCACAGGACTTAAACGCGAATATTTGGAAGTAAATTCTAAGGTCCCCTCATCCGTTAAGTGCGATGAGTTTCAGAATTTTTTTATTTTTTCTATCGTCCCAATTCAATAGTATTAGGTAAAATCTTAAAAACTTGATGAACAGTGGAACACGTGCAATAGCTATATTTAGATTACACACAATGTCTTTTGTACAAACTTTTGTTTTTACCCGTGACTACTGGTCATGTAATAATTTTACCAGAAAGTCTAAAACTACAGTCGTACTTAAATTGCTAACCCTTAATGTCGCAAGTCGTTGCGCAATTAAATTTCTGTATAGTATTATATATGCGCATTCCACTATCTATAAATATATCATATATCATTAAGATATTACTTTCGTTTTTGTAATTTTTCCATCGTAAATCTGTGTTTTTCAACTCCTTGAATAGGGATCTGTCTATGTACTACATTATCTTCCATTCTTGCGCATCCAGTTTCACTCCTAATAATCGAACATTATATTAGTGTGGCACCTGTGTTTATTACACTCCTAGTGTAATATACTACTAACATTATTGTAACTTAAATATAATGAAAGTTAAGGGAAATGTAAAGATTAATATCCTGTCCATATTATAGTTTATTATACATGTTATAACTGCATCCTGATTCATGGGCTCTCTTTGTTATACCATGGGCTCCTTTTATTGGTATAATTGTTGTATAAATGTAGGATGTATTGTATTGCTCCAGTAGTAGTGCTATACAGTAGTATTGTATGAATTAGTGAACTGGGCAATAGTCTCGTACCTCTGTTACCTTAAAAACAAATTTCAGCTCTTATTGTGAAATGCAGTTTGTCTTTCAATCGTATTTATCATTATTTGTTTTCACTATATTTGAATAACTACATTATTTACAGGATGTTGGACTACAGGAAGGAGTTTACGGAGTGTCTAGGATTAACACTAGCAGATAAGAAGTTACCAAACACAGATAAACTACACGATAGTATCCGGGCTGAGCTCATTGCTTATCACAGGGGCATATCCCGCAGGTTTAAAAAAAAAACCCCAACAGTTTGTTACTTGTTTTAGATCAAGATATTACACAAGATTTGGTGCTTTATGGTTTTAGTTCTCACCGAAGTGATTCAGAAACTGCCAGTGTTTACTGTTTGTCCTAATATGGTAGACTTTAGAGATTTAGCATCAACTGTTCTTTACAATCATTAGTTATAATTGGTTTAGCCTTTTGGTTAGCCTCTGAGTTATATGGTCAACAGTAATAGTTCGTTTAACCCTTATCTTTCTGAACTCATCATCGTCCTTATCTTTCTTTTTTCTGTTCTAAGATAAGGCAGTGTGATAAAGTGATCTCAATGTACTGAACGTGTGTTCTCGTAGGATACAGTGTAGTAATTACATAATAACAGTGTAGTAACCACATAATTACAGTGTAGTAATCATATAATTGGCTAATTATCCATTGTTGTGTGGTAATTAAAATATAATCAGATAACTACTTACACCCTCATTGTTCACCAGTGAACACACCCTTAATATATGATCTTGTAGTAGTCTAACAACGTTATCAGTTATCACATACGAGTCTATATCACATGAAACTTAACCATGTTTCGAGTACATAATCTAACTGTTTTGTCTATCATTTACAGTATGATTATACGACACACTGACTACATTCCTACTTAACAGCATAAACAATAAACATATGGTTACATAGAAATATACACGATTTTCAAATTCAATATGGAATTGTATTAACTGGGCGGCTAAAATGTTTTACAGGCTCTAAAGATGTAGTTTATTTACGAAGCCTAACATTTTGTGTTTCCCTTCGTGTCCAAATGCAATATAACACAGTTATTTAACATTGTTTTGTTCTCCAGTTCTGGTCCAGGGACTATGTACGCAAAACAGCTGGAACAGAAATCAGTGCACATTGACGAGTTACACCGCCTACTTAACACCTACAAGAACCAGGTATGTACCAGGGGTATGTGGCACTGCTTATCTCTAGAGATAAAATATGTTTTAAACAAAAGCAAACGTGATACACCTCATGACACGTCGTGACATCATTTTATCAATACCGAACTTTACACAAATCTGAAGTAGTTAACAAAAAACATCTTAAATATCTGATAACGGAGAACGGTAGAACATAACTTAAATACTAAAACATAAAACTTCTTCTTATTGTCTTATTATGATCACGTGATCTAAAAGTGTACCCGTCACCAGGTACAAGAGCTACACAGAGACATTACAATCAGACGCAGTTCAGCTGGAGCCAACAAAACCTCAGCTCTCACTAAAAACTGTGAGGAACTGATGGAGGCAATCACCACGGCAACCACTGAGCTGAAACATCTGCAACCTCTTTTAGAGAATAGTTGGAAGGAGACTCTTAACAGCGTTGTCAAGCAGCAGGTTCGTTTCGGTTGTGTAGCGAAATTGTTTTTTGCGGTCAGTAAAGCACTAACAGTGTCAACTGCAGCCAGGGATCTCGTTTCAGTTTCATTTTTTTATCGGTCTCAATATAAGTATTTATACTGAAGTATGTTTACTGAATATACTTAATATTAAGTATTTATATAATGTTTACTGAAGCAACTTATAGGCAGCTCTAGCGGATATAAAAACATATAAATAATGTATATGCTCATAATATGTATTATATATTAAATTGTTAGGGCTAAGGACCCAGACTAATAATGTTTATCTGACCCATTTCACCGCTGGGATATGTTGATTGTTGAACACTCAACACGCCCTTTGTACATGTGCCCGTGTTTTGTGCACGTGTTTCATCACGTGTGTTTATGTGCCTGCCTGTTTTTTTTGTGAGAGGCGGACCTGGGTGTGGCCACGTGAGGATAGATGTGGATGCTTTGCCTACATGCTGGGTATGGCAGTTCCTTTGGTCGGATGCCAGGGAATCAGAATGTATAATGGAGGATGATGGAAGTGTTATGAGATGTGTCATAATTGAACGTTTAAGTTTTCCAGCTGGCGCGGTGGACGAGAAAGGTGACTAAGACGACATGTGAGTAATCGCTTTGTCACACCACATACCTGTGTAGAGCCGCGTCTCAGACCCTCGGGCACAATTTAAAGCGTTTGGTGCGCAGCGCCTTCCGACGAAGCTCCCCCGCGCCCTCAACTCTAGTGGGATATGTTGGTTGTTTCTATGTCATGGACGCCTGAGAGAGGTTCTTGTTTGGAAAATTTTGATTGCCCTCTTATTGGGGCATAGCGGGCACTGTCCTAGGAAAGTGTGAGGGGCAGTCTCCTCTTCGTCGCCGCACATAGACACGCGTGGTGCTTGATTTGCGAATGGTGTGGAGGTGTTTGTTTAGGCCACAATGTCTTATGTCCCGTGATGAGGTGAACTGCAGTTCTGTAATTTTGTCTGTTATTGCTGAGTGTAGTGTTAAGATTTTTTGATAATGTTGATGGGTTTGTGACCGAGTGTCAGTTTGGTGTGTCTGGGCCATCAGTTAACCAGATGTCTTCCTGATTTAGTTGGTGACTTTGTCGTCGTTCAGGCGTTTGATGTAAGATTGTGGAATTGGGCATTTCAAAGTGGATTCACTGGTTGTGCCTGCCTGTGTTATTGGTTAATTACATGGTTAATAGTTGTTAGGAGGGGTGGGACGGGTGGGCACTATGCATGTTGGGTTTGTTTGTACTTTGTGTGTATGTTATGTATTATGAGACTGAGGTAGCATTGTAATTCTGTCTCTGTGTATCACGAGGTTTTCATTATCAATAGTGAATATGTAATTATTTATTATATGTATGTTGAGTTTCAAGTTTGGCACTAGGCCAGTGTTCATTTGAACCATTAGGTTTAACTATGTTAATTATTTCTCACACACTTGTTAGACAATGAGAATGTAAAATTAGTAGTCACAAAAGTAGCATCCTCGAAGGAACTAAGGCTAGGTGTTTCGGAACAATTGAGATTTACACAACATTACGAAATGTGACCCCAGAATGCCCTTCTCAGGAAAGGTACAAAGACCGTATGTCAGTAGTGGAGAAGATGAGGAACGAGACTCAGTATCTGATAACCCTTGTGAAGCAGCTCACTCCCTTTATACACAACTACAAAGCAGTCTCTGACAAACTCCACCCCAAGCTGGGTACCAGCAGTAGTTCCGGACCGGACGGACAGAGTCTGGACAACATGAACCAGGTTAGTACCGGACCGAGTCTGGAAACATGAACCAGGTTAGAACGCCAGACGAGACACGCTTCCTAGTGGCTTGTTTTTAATATGCATTCCGGCTTTGCTTATCTTTTGCGAGTGCTCACTCCCAATAATGCAAGTATCGATATCCAATTACACAATTAAAGATTTAATTAGGCTGGCTGTACTCTGCGTTATTTTTATCAGTATCAAGTTATCAATGTTATAATACTTCAGATAATCCAAACAATAAAAGAGATACAACCTGACTCTGGCCAGAGAATAGCCGCTATAGAACTAGCAGAACGAGAGAAGTCAGGCAACAAGAAGAGTAAGAACTCGTTAGAGGAAGATCTGTTAAAACAAAAGGGCAAGTTGAGATCAGTGGTGAATAGCAGTGAGGATCTATCCTTGTTGTGAGCTCTAGCAAACAAACAAACTGGTAATATTTTTAATCGAAATGTTTATAATCTATTCGACATTCGTACCTTCTTCATTATTATATATCTGCTGATTTATTTATTTGTAACATATTCTATCGTTTCTGTAGAATGTGAAATTTGAACCTATAAATACTACACTATAAATATTTAAAGTTTATTACACTGAAGTGTAGAGTTGAGTTTGACGTTTGATCATACCTTTTTGTCTAAGCTGTCATCTTTAAGTGTCGTCACGTGATGTCCATATAAGGAGTTTAATGACCCTGCTGCTAGTCCTAGTCTGTAATGAGCCGGAACATCTGCTGGCACTACTACATGTATTCATCTTGGCACTAATGTTGCGACACATTTATCAGTTGACATGTAACTGATACATCTGGAAGTTTCTGCTAGAGGGTATGATTTCATTTCCTTTAAATATGAGGGGTAATATTTAGAAGATAACTTTCAAATGTTACTTTACCTAGAATATAGTGACGTTCACAAATGCATGTTTCTCGATATCGTTTTTATTATATATTTTTTGATGTACTAGATTTATAAATAGAATATTGTAAATTTTGTTTTTATAAAAGAATTCAAATTTTTTGTATCGTATTTTATACTTCATTTTCCTAATGTGTCTTTTATTCTTGTCTATTGTAAATTTTGTATTTTGGAGGTAGAGCATAAATTTGAACTTGAAATTTACCCAAACAACACTATGATTTCTATGAAATAAAGCTATTGTTTTGACCTTGCTCCCTTTACTTAGGAGTGACAATGGAACAGCATTTTGAGTACGAAGCGAACATAAAGAACATCCTAGAACAGAATGAGCTTAAGTGGATATTTGTAGGTGGTAAAGGTGGAGTGGGTAAGACGTCTGTCAGCTGTAGTCTCGCTATCCAACTAGCTAAACTACACAGCTCTGTGCTGCTTATCTCAACAGATCCTGCTCACAATATCGCAGACTCATTTGAGCAGCAGTTCACAAGAACTCCCACACAAGTAAAAGGAGTTGACAATCTGATGGCAATGGAGGTAGACTCCTCTCCTCCTGAGGAAAGTATAGAGGAGATATTCGCTGATCCGGAGAATGAACAACAGAACTTAATGAAGAATGTGATGAAAGATGTTGTGGGCAATTTACCTGGATTGGACGAGCTGATAGCGCTTGTTAACATATTTAAAATAGTTGACCAGCACCAGTTTGACGTGGTGGTATTTGACACAGCACCTACAGGCCACACCCTCAGACTCCTCTCTATCCCCAGATCTATTGATAAAGTGCTCCGTCAGCTAATACAGATGAAGTCCTGGGTGGGTGGTCTTGTTAATGCTATGTCTGGTTCCCTCGGAGTCAACGCCTCTGTCAATATGGACATGATGGACGAACTTTTACCTGTAATTGAGAGACTCAACAAGGAGTTGAAGGATCCTGACATCACTACTTTTGTTTGTGTTTGCATTCCCGAGTTTTTGTCGTTGTACGAGACGGAGCGGCTGATTCAGAAGCTAACAGCACTAGATATAGATACACATAATGTGGTTGTGAACCAAGTTGTGTACCCTGACAAAACAGAGGAGGGTAAAATATCGTGTGGACTGTGTTCCTCTAGATCCAAGATGCAAACTAAATACCTCGAACAAATCGGGGATCTTTACGAAGATTTCCATGTTATCAAAATGCCACTGATGGCCCTGGAAGTAAAGGGAACGAAGATATTGAAGAGGTTTGGCGAGTTTTTGGTAAGTCCCCCTGACATGGCAAATAAGTCTGTACACGATCTTGTTGTCGATTTATAAAAATAATTGGTTTATTGATAGACTGTACTGTGACCTTGTTCCTTTAAATATTGCTGGTCAATAACTTTACAATAGCCAATAATGGAAACCCAGCAGTTTCTTATCTGATCGATCGATATTTGTTTAGGTTTGGGATATCGATGTATAACCATATTTATGTCGTTTTTCGTTTTCCCAGAATTTTGTTCCCGTTTAGTTTTTTATTGTGGCAATTAATCGGTCACACTCTTGAAACCTATATTGAAATTTGGAATGCGCAGTCGACTTTTTAGTAATTACTCCCGCGCGCTAAATTTATTTATTTCCTGATCTGAATTGAATAAATTAATATAATATTTATACCATTCTACGCCACCTCAAACGTATTTGTACGTGCTTCCATGAGGTTTCACTAGTCAAGAAGCTATTATAAACTACATTCAATGATCATTTTTTAATCAGGAAATCAATTAAATTTATCTTTATTTTATAAGGAAACATTCACATCTTCTACTAAACCTTTAAATAGAATCGTTTCCGTATCAATAGATTTTGTCCGATCCATATCTTTCAACATTATCAGCCACGTGTACACTATTTAAGACCTCAACTATTTAGGAAGGATCAAATGTACGACAATGATATGTTATGACGATCACTTCACTCATCCTTGTGAGTTTGGTCCTCCTTCATAACGCCAGAGCAGAAAACCCAAATGTCATAGCCGCTAACCTCTCCCAAACTATCACTGCTAATGTCACTGCCACCTTCCAGAAAACCTTCTTCTTCCTGCTAGATGCGGACATTGTAACCAGGAATCCGGTGAGGATATCCGCTAAAGCAGTCAATGCGTCTGTGCATAATCCACTGATAGTAACCGCTAGACAGATCTTGGGAGTGATCTCATTTACAATTCCTCTAAACGACGAGGGATACCAAATATACAACAGGTAGTTTACTCTGGTAATTTAGTTCACTCCTCATTTCAATTGAACGCCGATTTAGGAATTAGGATTAATGTTTTCAAATACATAATATGTATAGGGAAATTTAAATATTATAACAAATAGGAGATACCTTTATTTTCAGTGTCTCAAATAATTTCAGCTAGATGTCACGTAATTTTTTATTAAATCCCCATTTTCCACAGGGTTGCTCGCACGCTTTGTCCCCAATGGAACGTTCTACCCACAAGTGATCTGAAGCTGTTCTTAGCTGTGGATGTGTCCTCCAGCGAGAATGTTAAACGAGAATTCCAACTTCGTGCTGACTACGTGGATAATTTCGAGCTGATAGAAAACCAGAAAATAACCGCCAATGTCACCCCTTCTACTCCTATGTACTTCAAATACAAATTCAAACCGAAGTGAGTTTTAATCACAAATTGTATCATTCAATTTATCAATCACTTTGTATAATGCAACACTTTAATATACAACAAACTAAATTATGTCAACGTCAATAAATTCATTTAAAGTTCATACAAGCGAATTAAAATTATGTCGAATGTCTAATGAAAAACACTAGCCTACTAAATCAGTTCTGTTTCAAGTCTATTTTGTACAGTAAGTGCAGAAAATGATCTTCTTATCCAAACTGTAAGCGCAACCAAATTTGCCCTCAATCTTCTTGTTGAATTTCTGTCGCATCAGAGTGGTGAAATAATTGATACAAAAGCTAGCAAAGGCGGCTGTGCCACTATGCAAGTTCTCACCGGTGTAGTGGAATCCCACTTTCTTCATCACTCCTGTGTCACAAATTGCCTGATTCTTCCTGTTGAATGCGTACATCTTTTTGACGTCGAATGGCCAAGTATTCCACTTGGACAGTTTGTCCCTGCTGAATTCCTTCAGTGCCTCATTTTCAGTCACATCTCCGTCAAAAACGTCAGAGTGCCACTTGTGAAGACAGTCGTGACTGTCAGTACAACTTCCTGAGAAGCTGTAGCTGGTAGCAAGTGGCAGGAGTATTGCCAACAGGAACAACATCACCATGGTTACTGCTAGTCTGGGAAATTAGATTTTAAAAGTAGGATAAGAGAGATGAGATGTATCAGAGCTTTTATCAATCGAGAATTTTTTAAGAGGCACTCTACTATGTTCAGGTTAAAGATAAGTCTGTTATTGGCGATAATTTACGGCGGTTGCCGGCCTCGCTTCCCACGCAGACGACCGGGGTTCGATTCCTAGTGGGGACGGAATTGGTCGGAATTGTTCGGCCACTAAACCATGGTGTGAATGGTAGATGCTCTCTTTGGAGCTTCAAAATGACGTGTATACATACGGATGTTGCAGTGAAAGCTGTACCGAAAGGGCCGTGGCCGAAACGCAATTAGATAGGAAAATCGGCTCCCCGATTGCGATCGACCAAATTATTATTAATTATTATTACGTCGAATAATGTTATCGTCAATAACTCACTCATATTTTTATTTCTATCACTTTCTTGAAAATTGTACGAAATGTCCTTATGATATGGCCATCAGGAATTACTATCAACGAGACGTAGACGTGTAGTATATTTTAAAATTTCATGCTATTAAAAAAGGTTTCCAAGAACTATAAAAGGTTTGACAAAAGTAATTGTCGAGGAACATACAACAAACTTCAAGGAATGTATAAGCAGGTATAAGCTGTCCACCGTGTAAACAGTTCGCAATAAATAAGCTGCGCATACTGATGACTCTTCCGGCCCCTCATGGGAATTCAACACTAAGTTGTGTATTTATAGAACACTAATGGTGAACTAGACGTACAGGCAACTCAACTTCAGGGAGTTAACCTTCCTGATACTGACAGAACAGATTGCTTTTAGTCGGCAGGAGAATTTTTACTTATCCCTGCTGATTTGTGAAACCTAGCTGTGTTGAGGACCGTGTCACGTGTACTGAACAGCGTGTGGTAACCATAGCAACCGTGTGTACTGAACAGTGTGTGATAGTGTGATCTTCCCGTGTTATGATAGTGACAAAACTTCGGTTGTGACGTAGGTTACAGGTAGATAATTAGACACACCCAACTAAGCAACAAGGGTCTTAGACTCCTAAATACATTGGACACACCCAACTAGGGGTCTTAGACTCTAGAGCATATCTAAGATTGTTATTCAACCGACCAAACACAGCTAATCTAGACCACACCAGAAAATAACCGCTAATGTCACCCTTCTACTCCTATTTACTTCATATACAAATTCAAACCGAAGTGAGTTTTTATCACAAATTGTTTCATCCAATTATCAACCTTTGTATAATGCAACACTTAAATATACAATTAACTAAATTATGTCAACATCAATAAATTCAAAGTTCATACAAGCAAATTCAAATTTATTTTTAATGAAAAACACTTTAACACTAGCCTAATAAATCAACATTTTATATTACCAGTTTTGTTTCATGTCTATTTTGTGCAATAAGTGCAGAAAATGATTTTCTTATCCAAACTGTAAGCGCAACCAAATTTTCCCTCAATCTTCTTGCTGAATTTCTGTGTCATCAGAGTGGTAAAAAACTTTATACAAAAGCCGGCGAAAGCAGCTGTGCCACTATGCAGGTTCTCCTTAGTGAAGTGGAACCCGACTCTCTTCATCACTCCTGTGGAGCACAGTGGTTGTCTCCTCCGGTTGAAAGAGTAGAGGTTTTTGTTGTCGAATGGCCAGGCGTCCCACGCAGCCAGTTTGTTCTCGCTTATCTTCTTCAGTTCTGCGCTCTCAACCACATCTCTGTTAAAAATGTCAGAGTGCCACTTGTGAAGACAGTCGTGACTGTCATTACAACTTCCTGAGAAGCTGTAGCTGGTAGCAAGTGGCAGGAGTATTGCCAACAGAACAACATCACCATGGTTACTGCTAGTCTGGGAAATTAGATGTTAAAAGTAGGATAAGAAAGATGAGATGTGTCAGAGCTTTTATCAATCGATAATTATTTAAGAGGCACTCTACCGTGATCGGTTCAGTAGAGTCTGTCCCGAAACGTTTTTTATCAACGGTTAATTAACAGCTAATTCAGCTTATTAACGGTATAAAACTCTCCCCAGTCAGTTAAATGGACCAGTATTGGTGCGAGTAACAAGCGACAGTGACACGTGCGCGACTATCTCCGTGCAGGCGGACGTGTGCCCTATACATGACCTGATGTACGATATAGAGTACGATGGCATGTTCCAGAGTATGACTAGGGTTGCTGCCATTACTGTTACTCCTGGCTTCAGTGTCACGGTGGGTAACAACTTTTGAGTTACAACTTTGTCTATGAAATTCTGTTATAAGATTGGCCAGATTTAACGGAATACTTTCCATTTAACTTGTACTTCGCTAGCAACAGAGTAATTGTGTCACTTGTGGCCGACCCGGTTACACTGCTATCTTTATCTGACCCCCTACTCGACCCTCAGAAAGACTTTGTGGTGGTAGTGGTTGTTCACCCCACGGATTACACCTGTGAACACCTCGGACACGAGCTGCTAGACCAGATCAGACAGTATAGCAACAACAGTAAACCTGAACCCGGTCCTAAACCTGCTCCTCTTTTCAACCAGTATGTGCTACTTTTCTGTGAGAAATTTCAATAAATCACGCGTTATTGTTGCTCCCCAGTTTGGGACGAAACACTCCAGTGATCTTAAATTTACACTTAACTTGTTGCCCATTACAGGAGAAAGAATGTAATAATTTCTGTGGAGTCGACGATGACTTATCGAGAATACATCTTCCCGACCCTTATAACTATTGGACTTCTTCTTATCATCTATCTCCTCGCTTATGTGGGAACAATCCTTGAGACAGAAAAGTAAGCACTTTTTATATTTCCAAAACCTATAATATAACTTTTTAAATAATACTCACTACTTGAACTACTATCCATCACTCAATACTGTATCTATTAAATACTCTATATTATTATTATCTGCTGAGGATTTAAACTAATTCTGGGTTATATCTGGCAGGTTTATCAGAGGATTCAATATCGGAGAGTTTGAATATCAGAACATGTCAGACGGTGAAGCAGAGGCCGGGGTAAGTAATCATGTGGAGGGGGTTGTAAGTCCATCTCTAGCTCCCAGCGACGCGTCCGACTACAACGAAGCTAACGGGCTACTGTCCCGCGCCGACCAGGTCCGTATAATATGCAGCGGCGCGTGCACACGTGCACTGTGCACGTGCACAAGAATCATGATTGCACGTGCTTCTTGTCATGTTTCTAGCACGTGCTGTGGTATTGGACGATGGTGTGATGTCGCGGAATGGTTTGCTGCACACTAACTTAGCTAAGGGTTCAAAGCGAGGCCTAAACATTTTGGATTTGCTGTCTCGCCGCAATACTTTATTTTAATCTTTTAAAATGTTTACGATAAATTAGCTACAATAACTACATGCATGCTGTTCTTCTCCGAGTTGACTCTACCTCGCTATCTTGCTTACTTACAGTGACTAACTTATTCAAACTAATCATTTACTTTTATAAAGATAATATTTATAAACATTGTCCCTAACATTGTCACTTCATTGCTACAGCCAGATATGCCATTTTCCCGCTCTTTAGTAGAGTCATGGACTTTGTTATTGAAACTTAGATCGAGATGGTCTATTGCTCTACAGACTTACAATGATACCTATAATTCTAGACTCATAATTCCCCATTTTAGACACATAATTTCCCATTCTAGACTTATAATTTCCCATTTTAAACTTATAATATCCCATTCTAGACTTACAATTTCCCATTCTAGACATTAAAATCCCCAAAAAATTCCTTATTCCACACCCCTAATCTGTGTGTGTCTAGGAGATCCCACCCACGGAGGACGCCAGTAAAATAGCCCCGACGGACTACGGTTCCACAACCAGCGCTAATAACGGGGGCTACCGTCGCCACAAGACTAATGATAGCATGGGGAGTGTGGACTACTGTGAGGACCTGAATGATGTGATGGAGATACGCCGCACTAAGGTGGAGCTAAACGTAGCAGATCTCAGCGTACATAGTAACGATTACAAGTACAGACTGTATCAGTGGAACCTTATTCCTATTGCTATATTCTACGCCCTGCCTGTTATTCAACTGGTGGCTGGTTAGTTTTTATAAAGTAAATATCTGGATTCTTGCTTACAGGTGCCATTAGCCATACCCTAGTGTATTTTGATATAAAAAAGAAGACTTCGTTATTTTCTCGGATCCTCTATATTCTCGGCTCTGTAACAACAAAGCAGTTAAATTAACTGAGTTAATAAAGAATAAGCATTTGAAACTTATAATAAAAGTAACAATAAAAACAACAATAAATAATCACCAAAAAGATGAAGAGGTAACCCACCTCATAACATCGATCTATTTTGAGAAATACACATTAATAGTCAGCACTCGCCCACATTATTATATTCTCAAATTGGAATTTCCATGCGGAATAAAATTCAAATAAACAAATAAATAAACGGTATACCGTCACGTGTATTGACGGTGTGACCAATTCCTGTAGCTGCAATTCTATGCCGGGTAGGAGTTAGTCACTGATATTGTGACAATTCCAATGCGGTTGCTCCTCTATCATCTCCTCCTCCTTATTTATCATTATTTTCCTCACAATTAGAAGATAACGACATGTCCGCAGGTATACAACTGATCGTACATTTCACGGGTAACCAGGACATATGTTACTACAACTATCTGTGCTCCCGACCCCTGGGCGTGGTCCAACAGTTCAACAACATTTTCAGGTGAGAGCAGACTAATGTCGGCTAATGTTGACTACTGGGGTGGGTGGTTACACAGTTGTTCAGCCCCACTGCTTCTGCCCTAACTGATCCTAGATAAAGAATGGAAGCCAATATAACTGGGATTGTTAGTCACAGTTCTACTAACGTTAAAAACTTAATCCCCGTTTTTAATGAGCACCCTGATAATGTTAAACAATTAAACACTGAGGCTGTAGCAGGCTAATAACAGTAAACACTCAGGCTGGACGGTAAACACTGTTAACCTAACTTGTTTCCTACGAGATGTAAACCTAAATAACAGCTTCTATAAATAAGGCGGTAAAATCACAAGATTTTCCTGCGCCATGAGAAAGAAATAAACCAGAGAACTATAATTATTAACGTTACATTAATATTTGCAGCAACTGTGGGTATGTTCTTCTCGGTTTCCTGTTCTTGTTGATAGTGAAACACAGAGACACCAAATACCAAGCTGCAGTCAAGGAGCGCCCTATCCTGGGGAGAAAGTTAGTTAATTAGACAATTAGCTAATTACCTGACAGTCTTATTACTTGTTTAACGAGTTGTAAAATTTATAGCACCTCTCTCTCTCGCCCCTCTGAAACCCCCCTCTCTCAGGTACGGTTTACCACAACATAACGGTATCTACTACTCAGTGGGTTTCTCCCTGTGTATGGAGGGTCTCTTATCAGCTTCATATCACGTGTGCCCTACTGGTTACAACTTCCAGTTTGACAGTACCTTTATGTACCTTATGGCAGGGTTACTAATGCTGAAGATATACCAGCTCAGGCATCCTGATGTGAACCCGCACGCTTATACTGCTTACATCTTCCTATCATTCACTGTCCTTATTGAGGTTTGAGCTTTATCTTACTTTTCAACGTTACGTTAATATTAGTTGACAGTTTTTTCCATTTTTTCTAACAAATTGTCAACAGATTTTCTAACAAACCTCCCCTTAGGTGGTGGGGGTGTATGTACAAACTATCTACTTCTGGATATGTTTCGCAGTGCTTTACATTGTGGCTACACTCTACTTTACCTCCCACATGTACTACATGGGCGTCATCTCGTTAGACTGTGGCATATTCGCCAGAATATCCCACTTTTTCAGGTATTTACTTTGCTTTGTAGTATTCAGACATTTCTGAGAATTTAGGCGCACTAAAAATAATAAAATGTATTTTAGCAGAATATAGTGTTTAGTATAAAATATATCTTTAGTGTGGCTCACTGTGTTGTACACAAATTATTAATGGGGGCCGGGGGGGGGGGGGGGGGGGTTTAGGGGTTTCTTGGGATTATTCAAGATTCGAAGTTTAGCTAGATTTTGGTAACACTTTTTAATATGAAGGTATCAGAATGTTGTAATCATCCTGGTCCTAAACTGTTGAACTAAGAGTGCCAATATAAAGGCGGGGTGTATAATTAACGACCCCTGAACTAGATACTGGAAGTTTGACGGCTACCAGAGCCTCACCCCCCGGTACCCCCACCGGGCCCGGTTCTCCCTTCTGGTAGTTGTCCTGAACTGGAGTGCGGCTGTGTTTGGGTGCTTCTGGCGGACTCGCAACTTCCCCGCTTTCTTACTCATGATATTCCTGATGAACAGTGTCTTCTACCACTGTTATTACATGGCTATGAAGATTAAACACAAAGAAGTGAGATAAGGATCCTCTTTTTTGGGCACCTAAATTCGAAATAAAGCAATAATAAGCACATTACAGCTCAGCAAATTTTATGCAATTTTCACAAGGAATTATAAAACCCAGTCTATTGATGATGTAGTATACTAGACAGCTCGTTCTGTTACGAATCACGCCTTCCACTGAAATATATAATAATAAAGGAGGATCTCTGTTGGTAGTTAACTTGACACCAAATCGTGGATTGAGCCGCTGTGAGAATGTCAGAATACCATCTTCAGTTCGTTTGTAGATCACCGTGTCGTCAATATAGATCACCGTGTCGTAATATCGACTATCGTCTTTCCACTTGTCATTAATTTGTTCTTATCATTTTGTTTCCCTTTCTATCCGTGTTTACTGTTTTGTCACTCTAACAATATTCATCTTTCAACCTTATGAAAAATAAGGTAATTGTAACATAAAAAGTAATCTTGTAAACATCTCTCAATTTAAGAGAGGTGCTTTTCAGAGTCTGAATATCTTGCTTTGGAATTTGCTTACATTGGCATGTAGTGGTGGAGGCGTGTAGTGGGGTGGAAGAGGCGTGTCACAGTATCAAGTTGCTTTCTTATCTGATAGGGCGTTTCATGACCTCAGACCTTCTACTTATGTTTACGCTTCCCACTCTTTCAAAACTTACGTTTGGGTTTCACCTTTAAGCTCGGGAAGTTTCTGTATTGCATTTTGATTATGCTTATGTAAACTGAGTTGCTCTTAGCATATGTATTATATTTATCTGGTATCTTTGTAAAAACTGAAAGCATGCTCCAATCTAACATATCCTAACTCAGAAGCAATGAAACTGTTAGTATTAACAGTCACCCTATCCCTTTTCGTGTCTGTGAGCAGTTGGGATTGCTACGATCAGGAATGTTGGGGTATTGGGACGTACTACGACACTTGGATCAGTTGTGACCAGTCATATCAACACTGTGATACTATGTACAGTGGATACCCCCTATGTCAGATAGGCTATTCTGGGAACGGTACTTACTGCTACGGTGACTACTACTGCTCTTCCAACAACTACAATGGGCATGCCTACTGCAGCAGTTATAACACCAACTCGTGGTTCGTAGGTTACGGAGTTGGGGGTGTTGTAGTTTTAGCTATCATTATCCTGTGCTGCTGCAGATGCTGTAGAAGACGACGTCGGGCAGTGCAACAACAAACAGTGGTGATCCAGCAGAACACTCCAGCTCCGGTTGTTAGACCCGCTGTCGTCCAGAACATCAACGTTGTGGGTCCCCCGGCTAAATATGGCGCAACTGCTTACTCAGTGCAACCAGGCGGTTACCCAGCGCAACAAGGTGGTTACCCAGTGCAACCAAGTGGTTACCCAGCGCAACCAAGTGGTAACCCAGCGCAACAAGGCGGTTACCCAGCGCAACCAGGTGGTTACCCAGTGCAACCAAGTGGTTACCCAGCGCAACAAGGCGGTTACCCAGCGCAACCAAGTGGTTACCCAGCGCAACAAGGCGGTTACCCAGCGCAACCAGGCGGTTACCCGGCGCAACAAGGTGGTTACCCAGCGCAACCAAGTGGTTACCCAGCGCAACAAGGCGGTTACCCAGCGCAACCAGGCGGTTACCCAGCGCAGCAGCAGCAGCCTGGTCAGTTTGCCGAACAACCCCCTCCTTATGATGCCAATGCCCCTCCAAAGAATGACTACTCAACTAATCCAAACTACTAAGGTCCTTGAAGTGGTAACTGGTCGAATCTGAACTTTGAAAAGTTGATTGTGTTAAGTACTGTTATCATAATAATTATTGATCGTTTGCAATGATATTCTTATTATTCTAAAGTATAGAAATATTCTTAATACTGTGCCGTTTTTCTAAAGTTCTTTTTTATTTCTTGTTGTGATTTACCAAGTTCAATGTTTATATTTCATCACTCTCAAATTGTTAATGACGTACTATAGATTTAAGGGCACGTGTGTACCATCCACGTTTTGATAATAGCACGCAGTCTGCTGAATAGAACACTAATGTCATGAGTGTAGAGTTTTTGATATATTATGCTACGAATTTTGACTGATTAAATTTTGCCCATGTTACAATTTTTACGTTTGAGTTTATAAACTATGATGATTATATTATATTAATTTTACTTGATAGAGTGCTTATCTTAAAGTTACATATTTTTACAGCCTGCTCTTATACTTCTTCGTTACTTCGTTAAGTTCATCCGTGGAGCCGGAAGGGTCATCAGATATATGACCACCTGGATGGCGTGTAGTCAACCAGTGAGTTTGACCAACTGCAGCTGTAGCCGGCGACCGGAGGGTTGTCCGGTATCAAAGCAATAAAGTTCGACAAACTTCACTTAAACATGTCAAAGGATGTATCAGCCTTAACTGTGTGAGGCACCTTGTTCCACAGCTTCGGTCCTTGAACTGAAAAAAAACCTGTCGTACATTGACTGGTTGCGTAAGGAACTTGACTTTGACAATGAGGGTATGATAGCTACATCACCGTGTCTTGGGGTCACCTTGAACTTGATATCACAGCTCTAATGATGTAGTTTTACGAAGATTTCAAGCCTTACGTTGTGCGTTTCCCTTCGTGTCCAAAAGCATTATAATATGTTTTTGATATCATTCTGTCCTGAGTGACAAAGTTCTGGTTTCGAAAATGTAAAAACACTAATCATTAATTGTTTGTTTGTTTATAGAACCCGTCCTCAATCTCGTATCAGAAAATGACTAAACTCAGGTCTGAGTGTGAATACGGGTGGTACATGCAAGTGTGTTCATTAAGCATTTAGAGTTCTGTAAAACTGCAGTTACAATTGTGCTAGAGTATTTTTACTTAAAATACTCTAGCACAATTGTATTACTGCAGTTTTTTATATCAGATCTAAATCCCTACATGCTTCCAAAATTTTTAATCTCCAACTTTCTGCACAATGTCAATGTACTGGAATGTTTTGAAAAAAATAAAAATAAAGTGGTATATAAATAAAATCAACGATTTAATGTTAGGAAGGTAAAATGTATTCCCTGGTTTCTTAAGTCAGCTTTAAAGTCGGAAAATCAAAGTATGTAGCGTCGAACTGTCGATACCAAACCGATTATTGAGCGATGATAGCTAAATAGTTGGTTCCTGGGGTACAGAGTCCTCCTGATTCCTCAGTCTTTGAGTGTAGTTTTTGTTCTTGTTCTGTTCTGTCCATATTTTCTCATGTTATGATCGAAGTTTTGGAGTGTAATGTTGTCCTATAATTATTTGTTAATCATTAATTAATAGTCATCTTTCGTGATGATCAAATCTCATCATGTTTTGAAGCGAATCTTTTATTTTCAATGTGAAGAAAAGTTCTCGAGTGTCATCAGCATTCAGCAATGTACTAATTTTCACGAAACAACTAAATTTCCCTGTCAAAAGTTACGATGATCAATTTAAAATCAGTTCGTGCAGTTTCTGTTTGTGTTCATTTCTTGTAACAATACATCCTGACTGACTTGTCATGTATCACTTTCAACGCAGGTCATGGGATTATCTTGGTGGATACCCGATACAACAAGTATATTTAACAAACAATAATATTTAACAGCTCTCTCAAAGAAAACGAATGAATTATGAAAACTTCTCAACAGTTAAAGTTCCGCTGACAGCGAAACGCGAAAGGAAAAATGTCTCTAAGGGTTTTTTTGCCGAAATCGCTTCCTATCTTTATTTATTCTTCGTTCTTCCAGGTTTTAGGTAAAGGTCTGCTGAGGTCAGAATTCAGATATTCTATTTAATCCTTAAATCAATCGAATGCCTCATTGAAGTGTTCAGTACTCTCATACATATCGTGTATCGAATACGTCACCTAATTCCCTTAGGTTACATTCCTGCAGCACATCAAGTGTGATTAGTATCACATTCCATCTGGGGAGCTTTTGTGTTCGTGGTCTCTCAGATTCAATCACTTTCAGCAGCAGTAGTAATCACAGCACCGGCTTGTTTGTTTGGCTTTCTAGAGGATCCGAGTTTTGTTATCGTATCTGCTCTTCTTCGTCTCCTAATTTAAATCCTTATTATAACTCTGAGTTTTTTCTTTAATGTGCAAAAATCCTAAACTTTTATTCTGATGTCGCCCCGTTTTGGTGGTGACTTGTAATTATTATTATTATTCTCATTTTCCTGTTAAATTGCAGATCCCTGGATATAATAACTTCATGTACTTCAGTTGCCATGGATACAATGAAGGTTCTCATTCTCAGTGTCACAGTTCTAGTTCCAATCCTCTGTCACAACTGTTACGATCAGCGCTGTTACAGCCGGGCTACTGAAGACAGTAGCCCAGAGGACCTCTACATTGAGTGTAACCAGACCACCAACTACTGTGACACTAATAGTACCGGTAACCTTCTCTGTGTGCCTGGTTCCCCTGGTAACGGTACTTCTTGTCAGGAGTCTGTATGTGTCTCGTATCAAGGTAAAGCTCAATGTATCCCAGGAGTTCCACGGAAAGAGACCAGCATGGCTCTTATCTGGGTTCCTGTAGCCGGGGTTATTACAGCTCTGGTCGTGTTCGTCCTGGTTTCTCTCTACAGGAGAGAACTACAGAGAGACCCAGAGATTGATGAGGATTTGTCTCCAATTGTTGAAGAAGAACCGTCACTGGTTGATGAGGATATTCGGGGTGACAATTCCTACACTGATATTGATGTTATGCCGTTTGATGAAGATAGCATATGAATAAACAGCTGAAGTTGAAAACAGTTAGCATTCACATTGATTATAAAGAGCAGCTGAGTCCTGATCCTGTAGACTCCTCAGTCGTGATGTTTTTCACGTAAATAATCAGCTGTGAGAAATTTATATTCATCAGACGACAAATGTGTACCAACTAAGAAGTAAAGACTGCGATGATATCGATCATGCTTCTATATAAGAGTTGTAAGAATGTTTGAATCAGCCGTGGAACTGTGGAAGTGATCCGAATTTATTTCTGCTTTAAAATGATGTACGTCACCGGGGGTGATGCAACGTCAATTAATGTCAGTATTCCATAAAAACCCCAAACTGACATTGACATTAATTGACATTAATTGACATTAATTGACATTAATTGACATTAATTTGTCTTGAAATTTGAGATTATCATTATTCGATAAATATTCAAGATATTCACGTTTATGTAAGTTAGACCGGTTCAAAAAAACAAAATGTCCTTGAATAATTATGAGTATGTTCTTATCTGTTGATTCTTAGGTTCAAAGACCACCAAAAAAAATTTCAGCTTCCAACTCTTCCATCTTCGGTCCCCACCGGCCACGCCCATATTTTATTGGTTTCTTATACAGGTAAAATATCTAGAATCGGCTTTTTTAGTATGAAGGAGTAATGTTAGCTGTTTAAGATTCGTTATTCAAATATAAATGTCATGAAGGCATTTCGTTTAATGTGGGTTTTAAGTTCTGATGATGTTGAGAACCACGCCCTTGGATGACCACGTCCATTTAAGAAAATTTAATTTCGGAAAACCGTATTATTTTAGTTTTATTATTTAATGATCTGAATTTTTTTCACATTTCACATTTCCATATGTGATAGTAGTGAATAAATTGATGATATAAAACGTTCTAAAGTGCTAAAAATATGGTAGAACTACATAATCTCTGGTCGAAAAATATCGTGTCAATTAATGTCAGTATTCCAAAATTTTGCAAAACTGACATTGACATTATTGACATTAATTGACATTAATTGACATTAATTGACGTTGCATCACCCCCACGTCACCTAGAATCAAATGTACACGTTTATTTTGAAAACTCTGAATACCAATTTTTTTTCTTTCTATTTTAAATTTCTCTAAATTTGTTACCCCCTAAATCTATTGACCGGAAGTCATCTGAAACAAATATTATCGTTTTGCAGTTTTACGGAGAAGAAATTTAATTTGTCTTGTCTGACTGAGAATCCAGAAAGATGTTTCCTCCCCCTCCTCCTCCTCCTCCTCCTAGCCTCCTCCTCTCCTCCTCCTCCTCCTCCTCCTCTTCCTCCTCCTCCTCCTCCTCCTCCTCTTCCTCCTCTTCCTCCTCTTCCTCCTCCTAGCCTCCTCCTCCTCCTCCTCCTCCTCCTCCTCCTCCTCCTCCTCCTCCTCCTCCTCCTCCTCCTCCTCCTCCTCCTCCTCCTCCTCAGTCCTCTTCCTCAGTCCTCCTCTTCCTCCTCCTCCTCAGTCCTACTCCTCCTCAGTCCTCCTCCTCCTCAGTCCTCCTCCTCCTCCTCCTCCTCCTCCTCCTCCTCCTCCTCCTCCTCCTCCTCCTCCTCCTCCTCCTCCTCCTCCTCCTCCTCCTCCTCCTCCTCCTCCTAGCCTCCTCCTCCTCCTAGCCTCCTCCTCCTCCTCTTCCTCCTCCTCCTCAGTCCTCTTCCTCAGTCCTCCTCCTCCTCTTCCTCCTCCTCCTCAGTCCTCTTCCTCCTCCTCCTCCTCCTCCTCCTCCTCCTCCACAGTCCTCCTCCTCCTCCTCCACGGTCCTCCTCCTCAGTCCTCGTATGTACGATACCTTCTCAGTTCTCGTATTACATTTAAATTTGTTTGACATCGTAAACATTTAAAAGACTCGACCTAATAAGTCTGAATAGGTCCAATTTCCATATCTATCACATACTGTAGCACATATAGCAGATGCTCACTAGCTCTTCATCTGAATATCGAGTTCTTGCATAGCCTATAGTAATTAAGCGAATATTGATCTACCGAACGATATTTTTCATAAATAAAGTGATTTTCATCCCTTTTTACGTTATTAAAAAAGTGTAGACTATTCTTTGTACCTAACTGATGATTGAAAGTTTGAGAAAGGACCATCGCACGGACAAAAAAACATGAGCCCCCCCCCCCCCCCCCCCCCCTAATAAAGGAGGATCTTCTGTTGGTAGTTAATTTGACACCAAATCGTGGATTGAGCCGCAGAGAGAAGGTCAGAATACCAACGGATTTTACCGCAGGACAGAGATCTTCAGTTCGTTTGTAGATCACCGTGTCGTTATATCGACTATCGTTTTCCCACCCCTAATAAAGGAGGATCTTCTGTTGGTAGTTAATTTGACACCAAATCGTTGATTGAGCCGCTGAGAGAAGGTCAGAATACCAACGGAAAATTCTACCACAGGAGTAGGACAGTGATCTTCAGTTCGTTTGATTTACTCGAAATATGGAATATGCTAATTTTGAGTTAAATTGGATTTCGGATTTTGATTTTTGAAATCGCGCTTTTAATCCAGTTAACAAGATTTCTATTATCACTTTTATTCCTCGCAGTTAGTGATAACTGCGGTAGATAGGGACTCTATTCTATTTTTCTGTTCTACTTTGATAAGTCTATAAATGGGAAGTATTCATACTTTTTTATCCTTTCATTGCCCCTATGTTTTATTTGAATTTAATTTGCCGATAACTAATAATGTAACACCTTTATAATTTATTTGCCACCCCACTATAGTACAAGTATATACTGCTTATATTCACCAGATTAACATGCTGAATACAACTACCACCATCCTCCTCGTGGTCATGCTGACAACTGTTTGCTGCTACGACTGCTAGGACACCAAATGTCACGGCTGGGGTATATATTCCGGCATATACATTGACTGTCACCAAAAAGGCCAATATTGTTACAACAAAGGAGACGACTTACCTCTGTGTGCGTCGTCCAACTATTGGAACGGAATGGGAGTGTTCTGCAAGGACGGGTCAGAGGATGAGTTTGAGTGTCGTACTCACCGGAATGGGAGTGCGTATTGTTGGTACCCCGCTAACAAGACTCCTCTCTGGGCTGAAGCTGTGGGAGGAGGTAAATGAGGGACAATGTTGGGGCCAGGAATCTGTATGAGAAACCTGTGCACAGGTCCTGTTTCCCTAAAACTTTCAGTGCGTATGGATAATAATGAGAACAGAAATTAAAAGAGCTTGTTATGGAAATTAATAATCTTTAAAAACTCACAACTATTATTCCTTCTTGAGTATAGCGTGACAAATTCACTTTTACTTTTTTTATCACCGATCAATCAATTATGTTCGTTACTTTTTTGCACTTTGATAATGATGACAAAGTTATTCTATGATATCGTTATTGCTTTTTTTAATTGATATTTGTAATTTATAATTTGTATTTAAACCTACACCTTGTAATCCGTCTCTATGTTAAACGATACAATCCATTTACTGAATGTTAAGATTAGCACCAAAATAAGGGTGACGGCCATCGCATCGTGTTTGGCAATTTAAAAATTGAAAACATTGAATATAAAATGATTTAAAATAATACGGAGCCTAAATTGCACCCCTCCTCAGAAAGCACCCCACACCCCCCCCCCCTCCCCCCTCCTCAGATAGCAACCACATTTCCAAGTTTAAAACCAATCACACTCCCATTTATGACAAGTTTTCTTTCAGAACGGATTTCTTCACAAGCCCGAAGCCCCTGTACATGGACCGTTTTGTGTTCCTTGTCCTGGTTGTGACACTGAACTTCGCAGCCGCCATCCTGGGCGTGGTCTTCCAGCCCGGAGACTTTCCTTCCTTCCTCTTAGCAGTATTCCTCATCAACTTACTCGCATACTTCGCATACTATGTTATCATGAAGTTCATTCACAGCGAGGTAGCTTATTTTCCTACCTGCATTCATCATATTATTTTATCATTCTCAGCTTCGAAAGTTTCCGCCCAATATTGTTCATAAGTTTACCTCTTCGCCCAGTTTTAACTAAATAGAAATATGCCTATCAGCACACAAAATGATATTTAATAGAGATTATAAACTTTGTCACCCCCAGTATCCGTATCCTATCACAATATTCTGCGGTGCACTGACCATGTTGACATGGATATGTGCGCTCTACTTCTACTTCTCAACTGTCACTAACTGGCAACTACCTGCCGCTCTGTCCAGAGTTAAGAACATGGAGTGCCTCGTTTTAGGTGAGTTATCAGTTTATCTGTTTCTGCTTAAACTGGATCAGTTACTGAGTAGTGAGTATTAAGTAATTTATAAGTAAAACCCTTGGCGCGCGGGATGATAAAACAACTTGTGACTTGTTCTATTTAGATTGATCCAAGTTTACTGTCACCAGTTACAGAATCCCGCATTCCACTTTATATTCAAGAACTTTTCTACATATTGATGCTTTTCATACAAACAAGTTAAAACAAATTCTTTATGTCGTGCATCCTGGGTTTGGACAGGATATGCCCGCTTAAAATACTTCCATCGCGTTACATTACATAATTCTCAATAAATGTATTTAATTGTAGTTGTGAAGAAAGTTTAAAACTCTTATATCTTACTTTCAATCCATGTGCTGTTTATTTGAATGTCTCTGTTTTCAACAGTTCTACCCACAGATTTCTACGATAACCACGATGTATGGCACATTATCTCCTCTATGGCCCTCTTCTTCGGTTTTGTGACGGTCCTCACGCTAGACGATCACCTTCTTAACAAGCCAAGGGATCAAATAAAGGTCTTCTAAAGTTTCAGCTGATTCAGTCATTACGATCAGATTACAATAGGGGAGTGAGCCTTGTGAGACTTCCTCGCAAGGCTACCTTAGCAGGACATCTGCTGATCTTTGATTTCGATTCAATTGTCGGAGTTTTTTTGTAGTTTAGTGTGTGTGTGTGTGTGTGTGTGTGTGTGTGTTTTTGTGTGTACTGTGATTTATTTATTTTTGGCAGGTTCTATAATTAATAATTGGGTTAAAGTTTCACACTAGGATATATACGTATACAACATACGTCTAGGATAAGAGACTGATGTTTTGGGTTACAGTTTTTTAAAGTGACAATCTCACATATTTGCCAAAAAGGAATTGGTTGAAATCAGCGGGTTTAGCCAGAATGTGAGAATTTTTAGAATTAACGTTCAGAATATAATCATAATATAATGATAAATAACGAGTTCTTGTGTGTGCTTAAAATCAATTGTTCATTGTTATTTAATTTTCTTGTATTTGTTTTAGAGGATGGTCTTGAAGACTCTCTGGGACATTTTAACGGGTATTGTATCTAGTTTCGGTTTTATTGAAACAGTTCTTAGTAATTACCATTGAAAACAGAAAGGATTATGTGTGGACTGTGGTGCTATGTTTGCTACATAATTTAGCGGTTCAGTCAAAATGTTCCTAGAATTGAATTGTTGATTAAATGATAAACATCATATTAAAGTGTATTAAAGTATATCCCCGGGCCAAAATCTGAAAAAGCCTACACTTTAATATACTTTAATATGGTTGCCCACCCCCCCCCCCCCCCCCCCCAATATCGTGCTTTTCTAAATTTTAGTTGAGTAAGCCCTCATTAATATAAATGTTGCAGAACATGTTTCAATCACTTTAAATTGTAAATACGTTAATGATTCGATTCCATTTTGAATACAACTACGATAGAGTTCAGAGTTTGTTAATTTTGTTTAAATTCTCGTTCATATTAAACTGATTCGAAAACGAAAAGATTTTGCCAAGCAGTTTCAATTATCATGCTATTGTTCATTTTGATTTTAATTTTGCAATTGCAAGCGTGAGTTCATTTACTTTGTTTTTGTCAATAATATCAGGGTCAGGGATGTATCAATAGATCATAAATAACAGTAGGTCGAGTTTCGCGGATAACAATTAGGAACATGGCTTATATTATAAATTGTAGTTGAAGAATGGAATGAAATCTTGAGCTGGGCTAACACTAACAGTCTGCAGGAAAGTCACTATCGGTATTCACAATTCACTTAAAATGATTACATCGCCATCTCCCCAACTGCAGCTATAAGGGTGTGTGTGTGTGTGTCTGTATCACATTGGTACGGTTTCAAAAATCTGTAGATTAATTTAGCTACATCTAAATCTTGCGTTGACGCGGATGATGTTGCTCTAACGTACCAGAGCCCTTGTGCTTAGGGGTCGTTCACATATCACGTAATCAGCTGAGGGGGGGGGGGAATGATTACGCTAGTGTAATTTCGACACAATAGCTATGTGTAAAACTGATTACGGAGGGGGGGGGGGGGGGGTAAAAATGTACGTAAAAATAATTACGTAATATGTGAACGACCCCTTAAGTTGTGAAACAAGTGCGCCTGCAGTGGCGCGAAAGCACATGCAAAATGGTTAGGTGAAAGAATGATACTCCGTACTCGTCTAAATTTCTTCGAAGCAGCGCGCGCGTCGATGGTCGAGGCTGGGGGCAGTCTACAAGTACTTCACATAGCCATGTATGTGTATACGCGTACTGCAAGCGAGATCATCGGGCTCTGGTTAGAGCAATACTAGTACTAATGACTAAAACAATAATATAGCAATATTTAGCGCTCATACTAGTACTAATGACTAAAAGTAAAACAATAATATAGCAATATTTAGCGCTCATTTTCTTTGTGAATCATCAAAATTATTTGATACACGTTGCGTATCACAAATATATAGAGAATATATGCGAATATAGCGGCGAATATAGCGGATGTACATTGCATTGTGCTCAGTGCTGCAACGTACATCCTTAGCCATTGTCAATTGTAATTGTACGTACTATTTATTCACGATGTCAATCCTTTGTTACCTGGGGACCTTAGCTTAGGTTATTATGTTCAGAAACATAGAGATTCGGCGGAATGACAGGCTGAGCGCGGCCCAGTAAATCCTTTGCAGCTCGTGGTTGCATTGAGAGAATCGATGCGCGGCCTAGTAGTGTATCTCGCTACAATACGAATTACTTATTATTATATAGCAAGCAAGCTCGAAGCCTATGTCAATTTATCCCATTTCAAATAACACCCGTTACTTTGATTGCCTGACCTTTAACGGTTAATTGACGATGTCAATTCATGGCAGCTCGGCGCGGCACAGTAGCGCATTTCGCCGATCTAGCCAGATGTGAGAAGCCTTATTAAGTGCGCGGCGCGGCACAGTAACGCATCGCGCTACAATTTAACGAGTGATATGATACTCGTTTCGACGAGTCCAACGCGGTATGTTATAAAGTACCTGTAACCTAACTTTATAACCAACAACTAAATAAACTGGCCGGGTGGACCTTGACCATTGTTAATGATCTGGCCCGGCGCGCGCTACTTCGTAGCACTTGCCACCGGGAAGAAAGCGGCGCGCGCTACTTCAAAGAAATTTAGACGAGTAACATCCGTCAAGGTGGACCTATTTAAATATTTCTCAATTACCAATTGTGAACTGCAATATTATAAAAAACAATGTTATAAAAAGGCTTAGGCCAAAAATTTAATAAATCTTGCTACTATCTGCAACTATTTATCGTGTAATACCACATTAGCTCTTATCTTAGAAAAGGCCGCAGCGTGCACTTCTCGTCGCTCGCGAAAAGAGATACGTATACAAAATGAAAGGTAAACTCCCAGCTCCCGCTTCCGAACTGGTATTGCATATGAGTATGAGTATGAGTATTGCTGAAAGCACAGTGTAAGGCATACACGGACAGCCTCTAACTAGCCAATCCCTGTTTCATGTTTACATGCCGTGTAGCAGGGGACCAGATAGAGCTAAACTATATGCCAGGGGATGCTAGCCCTGCCGCCCCCTTTAACGGGTGATATTCGTAAAATATCTGTTCCATCGACGAGTCCAACTCGGCGCGCGTCCTGGTAGGTTATAAACCTACAACCGCCCCGGCCCTGCGATATAGCATTACAAAGGGGGAGCCGAGGCTCCACTAATTCGTATATTCGTATATTTAATTGAGAGCTAGAGTTGTAGCGCGATGCATTACTGTGCCGCGCCGCGCACTCAATGAGGCTTCTCACAGCGAGATGCACTACTGTGCCGCGCCGAGCTGCGATGAATTGACATCGTCAATTAAAAGCTAGAGTAAGGTGGGACTTCAAAATCGGGATAGAAAATGAAAACTTAACATATTTCGGAAATATTTTTAATGGATTGTTTTCAGTTTGGAAAGATAAAACGTATAGTACCAAATTTAAAATATAAAAAAAACCCTTGTGCATGTTCGAGCTGAAAAATGTTTGCCATAAAATTATTCAAACAATATACACATAATATAACAATAACCCTATATAATATGATATAAAAATTCTATATAAAAATTCTATATAAAAATTCTATATAAAAATTCTATATAAAAATTCTATACAAAAATTCTATATAAAAATTCTATATAAAAATTCTATATAAAAATTCTATATAAAAATTCTATATAAAAATTCTATACTTTCCTTTGTTGTAGTAGTAAAAGTAGCCAATTCAATTTGTTGGCTCTAAATTAATATCTAAATCTGATATCTTAACTATACTACCACTTTTTATTCCTCTTTCTCCTCTAAGCAAGAGCAATAATTGTCGTTATTAATAAGTCAAATCTTATTCTTTTCCTGATAAAAGTCATCGCTTCACTGCAACTGTAGCTTTGGCCTGATTTTCTAGACATTCTATCAGCTAACTTTTTGAAGAACGTATTTGCTTCTCTTCCCATTCCACCTGTTGTTGATAGGACTATTGGTGTAAATGTTCCATGTTCCACCTCGACAATCCTTTTGTTGTACATGTTTTTCTTCTGTCTCTCATGGCTAGTGTACATTGAAAAATTGCTTAAGTTCGAAATACGATAAAAAGGCAAAAAATTATCTTTGAGGTGTTCAAAATGATATTTAGATTCTAGTTGAATATTTGATATAACTTGTTTCGTTTTTTACTATATTACTTTACTAGTAAATTTTGTAAAAAATTGGGTTATTTAAATTTCAAATTCTCCATTTCATGCCATTAGCCCTCCTATCTTAATCTAATCCGGCTGGTAAAGTAAATGGTTTGAAAGTTGTTTGGCCGGATAGCAATGATTCCGGTTATTATGATCAGGGTAGCAACTAGCATCAAACGTGAAGAAAAGTCGAAGGGGGGGGGGGGGGGGGGGGGGGGGGGGGGGGCGTCTTTTGAGGGGGGCTCAAAATTGTCGTTTGAATGTAGGACAATTTTGAAAAACTTCGGCCACTGGGGGGGGGGGGGAGGGGGGGGAGTTTCAATGAGATTCTTCTATTTTGCTAGCACTAAAGTTTAAGATATTAAAAAGTGTTTGCTTTCCTAAGTTTTAAATTAATTTTCCCACATCAAAACGATAATTTGGCGAATCCCCACGAATTTAGTGGTGCTTTTTGAGATCAACCTGCTTTTTACCTCATCTTAAACCTTTAAACCTTATGAAGAACCACCTGCCTTGTTTCATTCTTATTACAAATAATTCCATACACAGTAATTTCTGATAGTTTATTATGTTCTATAAATGTGTGTTCGATTATTTAAATTTTACTTTACTTTACTTTAATAAAACAAGGTATAATTAATTTAAGAACCAATGTAATTAAATTCAATGTATACAAATGATAGAATGATATAATAACTTGTTTATATTGTCTGGTTGTCAGTCAAGGTCAGTAAATATCTAAAGTTATTATGATATTTCACAATTTTGTAAATTATCAAAATATTCACTGTCCTTATCATTCACTGTCCTCACAGCCAGCAGGTAGTTAGAATGTAGATAGGACCAGGTAGGTGCTCTGAGATCTTCAGTTAACACCGTATCTTTCAACATCTTCTGTAGTATATAATAGTCCTTGTCTGACCTCCAATTGTCAGATGGTCTTCTTGACGAATCACCAAGGGGTAGACTCCACTAATATATCCCAAAAACAGCATAACTCATACTGAGAAGGAGAGGGTTAACATTTTTTTTGTAATTTGAAAATTCAATTAATTATTATATACATAAATCAAGTGTCACAAGCATTACAATAGTAGAAGTTAAAACACTTTGCTAATTCCACCACATGATTTGATTGAATGTATAATCCTATATACTTCGTCATCATAGTCACAATTATTTATATAACACTTTATTATAACTGACATTTCTCTTTTAGGTCTGACACTCCAATCATCAGTCAAATTGAAAGTGTTCAGACATGATCTCTATCAACGACAACCAAAAGATTGGTATAGCTATTAGTGGGTTCGGAATGCTATTTCTTTTCCTGGGAATGATCCTGTTTTTTGATAAAGGACTCTTGGCAATGGGAAACATAATGTTTCTGTGTGGATTGGCATTAATTATTGGACTTGAGCGAACCTTCAGATTTTTCTTTCAACGTCAGAAATTGAAAGGAACAGTGGCATTTTTTGGAGGAATCCTAGTGGTTCTTCTTGGATTCCCTTTTACGGGAATGTGTATAGAAAGCTATGGATTCTTTGTCATATTTAGTGGATTTTTCCCAGTGGCAGTAAACTTCATCAGAAGAATTCCAGTGATTGGAAACTTACTCAACTTACCTGGCATATCACACGTGGCAGCCAAACTGGAAGGACAGTCAAGGTACAATGTATAAATATAAGTTTAAGGTTTAATAGATTTGTACATGGTTTGGGATATGAAGGCCTCATAATGAGGCACAACTATTTTGACATGTTACAGTAATCAAGTTGCGCATTATATTAACAGCTCACAATCACAGCTCTAATGCTCAATCCATCAGAGCTGTGAAACTGTCAATTTTCACCACATGGTGGTCCAAAAGTTGCAAAATCATTTTCAAGTTTTGGAATTGATTTTCATTCAAAACTTTTGGTCCACCCTGTACAATAAGGAGTAAGTTCATATGTACATTTTTGACAATATGTCTTGACATGATGTTTGAGATACCATTGCATTCCATAAATTAAAGAATTCTCCCTCATTAATTGATTATAAACAAGGTGCTCAGGGAAGACTGTGTCTTGTCATATAGCAATACTGTGATAAAACAATTTATCATAATTTCTACCCTAGTATCACTTTGTTCATGATCAAAGTAGTGAAGGAAGCTATTTCCACAACACCATCTACCCAACCATGCCATGTTTTTGTGCATTAACTTAACTTTACTATATTTAATGCTGTAAATTTCATGTTTGAAAGAAAAAGAAAATCTAGGCATAGACATTTTATCTTGCAGTGAGCAGATGTAAGACGATTGTTGTTGAAAGAACAAGCCCTTTGAATATGTGAGGCAATAGTTTCTAGTTGGTAGTCGAGGGTAGGTAGAAAAATATTTAATATTGCTGAATTATATTTGCAAGGGTATTTAAATCATTTGTAAAGTTATCTTTAGTCGTGTATAGAATTGTGGCCTAAAGTGCTGAACGAAAGAATTGACGGGTTTTTTTTCTTGATTCAGACAGTGATATAATCGGAAGAGGTAATCTATTTTAGTGTCTTTAAAATTCGTGTAACATGCAAAATCCTTCAGTAAAGTTCAACCCCAAATTTTCAGATTCAGCTTTGATCCACTTATAATTTTTTGCTTTTTCAATTGTCCTTTTTTTGAAAAATAGCTTGATTATAAATTTGATGCAGGACATTGAGTGTTGACAACTTCAGTTTTAATTTTAAAGCTTTATATGTCAGTCGAAATGTCACTGGTGGCATTGAGTTTAACTAAAGTAGTAATTTAAACTTGCTGTTTGTTTGATATTTCACATCATGGATACTAATATTCTGTTTCAATACACCCATTTACTCGTGTATTATTGTTTATTTCAACACAAAATCCAAATTTAAATCGATTTTATTCTGTGATGATGTTGTTTTATCATTGAAAAATTATATATATTTCCAATCTTGTTCCTAGCTGCTATTGATGTTAAAACTTGAATCATAACATTTACACACCAAGGTACAGAAAATACTTAATTAAATGATCGTTAGTGACTACAGCTGATGGTGGATCTGGTGGACTTGGCCTATTTTTATTTGACCTGAACTCCTCACAACTACAGGTATGTTACATAATTGTGAAATACTTTTAAATATGTTACATATTCAATGATAATTTTAGTCAAGGACGTTATATGATACCCCCGCACAAAGTTCCTTTGTATATTGGGTTACAGCTCAATCCTTTGTATATGGGTTACAGCTCAAAATATGGTTACAGCTCAAAATATGATATTTAGTAGTAGTAGTAGTTTCATTGCGCCCTAATATACCTAAAATCGTAGTACATTTATTGTTGGGTATTTTATGTAGGTTTGGGTAGACTAATCTTGTATAATTTTGTTTAATTATTGTAATATCTTCAAACAGACATTCTCATAAACTAGGTGATATCTTTTGTGTATAATTACACACAAACTATGTGATATCGGGTGTTTTAGTGTAATACTCTTCTAAGTTCTAACGTCTTTGTACAGCTGTATGTTGTATGTTTTATGTTGCTTGGTAAATAGTTTTAGAATTGAATGAACGCGAGTTTGGTTGTGTGAATGAACAAAGCGATGAAGCTGCTCTGAACTGAACAGTAACTGCTATATGTAAATTAAGTGCATGCTTTAAAGGAAGTCTGATGGACTCTTTCCAAACATACATACAGATTACGTATGCATAACATTTGTTGAGCGTTCACTTAGTTTAGTTGCCTTGTAGTGTGTAAGAAATAACGCTACTGAGCATTTAGTGACATGATTATTCATATTATGTCTTGAAACCCCGTTTAGTTGAAACTTGAATGTTGATACCATTAACTAAAACATTTCCTTGTTACATTTCTTACATTTGTTCCATGTTTCGTAGCATTTAGGTATTTACTAGCTCTTCTCAATGCCTTAGTAATCTTCTTATTTCAGTCGCAATGGAGAAAAGATTGTTCCAGCCGGATGAGGGGCGACTCTCAAAACTGTTTAAAACCCTCGATACTCACAACGACGGTTTCATAACGTTTGAGGAACTGAAAGCTTACCTCTCCAAGTCGGGACAGCGCTTTACTAAAGACGAAATAAAGAATCTGATTAAACGTGGAGATGTGCGCTCTAATGATGGCGTGTTAGATTACAAGGAATTCATTGATCTGATGGTCAGCCATGAGAAAGAAATGTGGGAACATTTTGTTAAACTCGACAAAGATGGTAGTGGCCAGATATCTCACTCAGAATTGTCGTTTTTCTTTAAAAAACAAGATTGTAACATGCCCGACAGTAAAATCAAAGAACTGATAACACGTATTGACAAGGACAAAAACCTCCTCATAAGTTGGGACGAGTTTAGAGAGTTCAACCAGTTCAGAAGCAAATTCAAGATAACAGCAAAACACTACTTTGGTGATCCCTACGCAGATGGGTTAGTAACCATCCCAGCGCAGAAAGGAGCCGAAAAGAAGAAGTTCAGCTTGATGGAGAAGTTAGTTTGTGGTGGAGTTGCTGGTGTAGTGTCAAGAACAGCCACTGCTCCCCTAGACCGAGTCAAGGTCCTGCTCCAGGTTCAAGGACAACAGAAAATATTGGGAGCCACTGAAGAGTTGAGTATTGGTCAGCTGTTCAAGGCCATGACAAAGGAAGGTTACACGACAATGTGGAGGGGAAATGGTATCAGTTGTGTGAAGATATTTCCTGAGAACGCCCTTCGCTTCCTTATCTTCGAACTGTTGTGCAACTCAGACAAACTGAAAGTTTCAAAGTACGATTTAGTGAACAAGTTGTTGTGTGGTGGTCTGACTGGTATAGCCTGTCAGAGTCTTATGTACCCTGTTGAGTTGACTAAAACAAGGGTAATGACCTCCCAGGGCTCTGTTGGAATACTTGGCACTGTTAGAGAGATCTCCCGTGAGAATGGTAAGAGGTTTGGAGTAACTAACTTTTACAAGGGTATAGCACCTGCCCTAATGGGAGTGCTCCCCTTCGCAGCACTGCAGCTAGGATTGAGTAAAGCTGGTACTGAGCTGTATGCCGAGTGGAACCAGGTTGGGAACCCCGGGTTCTGGCCGTTACTTAGCATATCCTCCTCTGCTACTCTCATTGCTATGGGAACTACTTACCCTTTACAACTTTCCAAGTGTCAGATGCAGGCGTATCGGGGGCCTGAGAGTGCACGGCCCACTCTCAGGACACTCTTTAGCAAGATTTGGAGTGAAAATGGAGCTAAGGGGTTTTATCGTGGATTTTCTGCGAATGCTCTGAAAGCGATCCCAGCTTCTTCCATTGGTTGGGCTACTTTTACCAAAACTCAAAAACTTTACGAGCAATATTTGGGATAGATGTACGTTGTGAATGCTTGTTTATATTGATGATGGTGATGTATGTTTAGTAATTTTGGTGCGGAAAAGTTTTTTAATAACGGACAATCAGGTCAAAAATTTTAATTATTTTTGAGGGGCTTAATTGTTATATCATAATCAATTACTTAATCTTAAAAGTAAACTTAAAGTTTATAAACAGAATAACTGATTATATTATTACGCCAGCATGAAATCATCTTATTTTATTTAAGACTTAATCACGACAGCTTGTAGCCTACTGTATTAATCTTTCTTTTCTTAATAAGCTGTAAGTTCAGTTTTTACATTATAAAGACGGACTTTGAAATATCATATCTGACCGTACTGAGATGTTTTTTATTTTATTAAGTTTATTCATAATAATTGAGAATTTCGTTGTGGATTATTTTTACCAGTGCTCATAAAATGTCAACTTTTAGACTATAAAGTTTATATCATGAACGTTAATTAACCTATGCACAGCTCATAGATTGTATTTGAGGTGGAAATTTTAAAATATTAATAGTTTTGTAAAATATGCTGTAATTTTAGAAATATTTGTATTTACCAATTAGCATTATTGTAACTTTTGTCTATGAAATTGTATATTATATCACGGCTATATTAGTTTCATTTCAAAATAATTTCCATTAAGTTCGCTTAATCTTAAGTTGAGTATCTACTTTCTAAAGAGATCAAGAGCTAATAAGAACAATAAAAGTGTAAAGTATTAACTATTGGTATGAGTTATGATTGGTTAGTGCTTATAATATATATATATATATATATGCATAATTAATTATATTAATTATGACAATTATTAAATTACCTATATTAGATATGAATAAATAAACCAAATAGATTTAAAGCATAATATAGGTATAATAGTATATAAGAGTAATAAAAGTTTTAATTAGGATTAATTGGTAGTTCATGTCTCCGCAAGACTTTCTAAAAAGTGTAATATTCAATGAAAACAACACTCACATCCTATTACTCTGATCTCCCACTGATTTGCACATCCTGTACATTAGTAATATAAACAATTACAGTTGACCTGTGTCAATATATATATTATAGAATACATATAATATGTTATATGTATATATGTGTGTGTCGTGTGTTCACACTGTAAGGAAATTACTTGTTCTATTTTCCTCAGATTGAAGCCTCAACAATGTAACTCATTAAGACATGCGACAAATCACATGAAATTCTAAATCGTAACATGGTGTGTAATCGTAACAACGCTGTGAGAGGCCAAATGTTTGCCCTGTTATCCATCAACAAAACTAATAATTACAAAACTAATAATTACAAATAATCCCTCTGCGACCCAATAACACACTTGTCGTCCTTTACCTTGCAGTTATCTACTCCACGCCTAAAAAGTAAAATGCAGCTTTTGTGTAGATAAGCGTCAAAATATCGCCCTCCTAAATAGCTACCTCAAGTCTAGTGGGTACCTCAATTATTGAGCCACGGGCCATTGTGGAGTCACAGTAGAGCCGTCAGTATTACAATATTAATTAGGTCCCCTTTTGTGGGTTTAAAAACTTTCACCATCCAATCATTGCAACATTTTGTCATTAACTCAGATACCCGGCCACCGCTGTCAGAAGCGTTTGAACTACCAGCTCATAGACTCTTTGGATCATGACCTCAAACATGCCAAAACTGTGATCATCTCATGTGGCATAAACGATCTTTCACGGTATGGAAAATCTGCCAAGAGTCTGGCTGATAACTTTTGTCCCCGCCTTGCCGAAAGCTGTAAGAGCAACAAAAGCACACAGTTTGTTTTTGTGCTTTGTCTTTAACGAGAATTGGTTGGTTGAACAGAGAAATTGATGATTTTAATCTATGTATGGTGAATCTCGCCAGGGTGATACCCAATCTGACATTTTACGATGCCCATGCCGTTATCAAGCGGGTTCATTCATACTACGTATGGGACCGCAATGATAAGCATGGCATCCATTTACATCACTATGTCAGAAGGGCTGTTGCATATGAACTTGTCAACTGCGTTGGCAAGTTATGTGGATCAGAACTGCCACGCCACAGGAACTGTGCGTGGCTCTACCACCATGAGCCTAACAGTCCTTTCAGATATCACCGTGGTTGAGCACTAATCCATAAATGAATTAATTATATAAAAATCAACCTTTTCTGTCAAGCCCTTAAATTAAGCATATCATCAAGTATTTTCATATCTTTTTCAGTACATCCTCACTCCTCATCCAAATTCATCATTTGATTGCTACCACGATCGATTTTTGAAGAAATGATCTGATTGGTCGAAAATGCTTATCTTCTTAAGCTTATCAGATGAACTGATGAACATTCTTTCACTATCAAGCATTTTTGTCTCTTATCATCCCACCATACATTTCCTAAAACATTTTCACATTACCAAACAAAACTGTGCACATTTTATTTAATAATTATAGAAGCTTCTCTGGTAAATCAGCATCAAGCACGTTTCCTCAGTCAAAGTTCAGTGCAACAGTATTTTCGAAAACTTCACAAACAACTAAATAGCAAAAATCACCACACAAAACTACACAACGAAACAATTTCACACATACAAATCACAACGACTTAATATACACTTTAGGTAAAGTCATATTATCATACTGATAAGCCCGAAAATCGAGATAAGGGCACTATATTGTAACATTTGATTTAGCGAATATTTTTAACAAATAAGTAGATAAGACTCAGATCACGATTCTGTAGCATACAGGACCTCCGGTTCTCGTGAAAGAATCTGATTTGCACTAGTATAGATATATTTTACGTTATTTATAAATTTATACATTTTTTATTCTCTAATTCCTCCACAAGCATAAGAGTTAACTTAAAATGGCAGCGAATGGAAATGTTACTGATACTTCTGGTCATAAAATCAAAATAAAATGTGGTAGCTGTAGCGGCTGGTGTTATTCTTCCAAAAACATCCGCAGCTGTTCATGGTGCCAAAACAACGTCCACGTGGGAAGTTGGTCGTTTAGCTCCGGACAGTCTATGCAACGTCTATGCAACGTCCATGCAACAACAAAAGAACCGTCTATGCAACGTCTATGCAACGTCCCTGCACAATGAACACTCTATGCACACTCCCTGCACGGTCAGTCTATGCAACGTCTATGCAACGTCTATGCAACGTCCCTGCACAGTACCATATGAACACCGGCTACTAGCCGGCTACTAGCCGGCTAGTAGCCACTTTTGTAATAACAGCTCCTCAACTTCACATTAACAACCGGCTACTAACCGGCACTTGAAAAGTGGTCACTAGCCGGCTACTAACCGGCTACTAGCCGGCTAGTGACCACAAAGTGGCTACTAACCGGCTACTAAGCGGTCACTAGCCGGCTATTAGCCGAGCTCTAAAGCAGACCTATTAGTAGCCGGTTCTAAACCGGCTACTAGCCGGCACTTGAAAAGCGGTCACTAGCCGGCTACTAACCGGCTACTAACCGGCTAGTAACCACCAAGTGGCTACTAACCGGTCACTAGCCGGCTCTAAAGCAGACCTTCTAGTTCCAAACCGGCTACTAGCCGACACTTGAAAAGCGGTCACTAGCCGGCTACTAACCGGCTACTAACCGGCTAGTAACCACCAAGTGGCTACTAACCGGTCACTAGCCGGCTAGTGACCGCTTTTCAAGTGTCGGCTAGTAGCCGGTTTGGAACTAGAAGGTCCGCTTTAGAGCCGGCTAGTGACCGGTTAGTAGCCACTTGGTGGTTACTAGCCGGTTAGTAGCCGGTTAGCAGCCGGCTAGCGACCGCTTTTCGAGTGTCGGCTAGTAGGTCCGCTTAAGAGCCGGCTAGTGACCGGTTAGTAGCCGGTTAGTAGCCACTTGGTGGTTACTAGCCGGTTAGTAGCCGGTTAGTAGCCGGCTAGTGACCGCTTTCTAAGTGCCGGCTAGTAGCCGGTTTGGAACCGGCTACTAGTTGGTCTGCTTTAGAGCTCGGCTAATAGCCGGCTAGTGACCGCTTAGTAGCCGGTTAGTAGCCACTTGGTGGTCACTAGCCGGCTAGTAGCCGGTTAGTAGCCGGCTAGTGACCACTTTTCAAGTGCCGGTTAGTAGCCGGTTGGTAATGTGAAGTTGAGGAGCTGTTATTACAAAAGTGGCTACTAGCCGGCTAGTAGCCGGCTAGTAGCCGGTGTTCATATGGTACTGTGCAGGGACGTTGCATAGACGTTGCATAGACGTTGCATAGACGTTGCATAGACGTTGCATAGACTGACCGTGCAGGGAGTGTGCATAGAGTGTTCATTGTGCAGGGACGTTGCATAGACGTTGCATAGACGGTTCTTTTGTTGTTGCATGGACGTTGCATAGACGTTCGCGTTGCATAGACTGTCCGGAGCTAAACGACCAAGTTGCCGTCCACGTCAAATGTTTTAAGGAAAATTTAGGTTGTACAAGCTGTTGTGAAAGTCTTATTCCTGGATTTTACGCGACTTACTATGAAATTTACGATGACTACAATAAGCTTAATTGCGCTATTTATAATCCATACGCTCAAAATAGTCGATGTAATCTTATTGGAGACGCCATGACCAATGAAGAGCACCAGGATTCAACATGGAGTGACATTTCGGCTTTCCTAACTCACTGTCAGTATAAACAGCAACGTAACGTAAAAAGGTCGACATCCTCTCAACTTAAAACATTTTCCATGAATATCAGATCCCTTTTCAAAAATATTGATCAACTACGAGAAGATATAGAAATATATGATAAGTATGATGTATTGTGTTTTAACGAAACTAACTGCACACTAGAAAAATTGCCTAACGGAATAAACGACATCACATTAAATGGATTCCATGAACCGTATATCCAAGATCCCATCCGCACATCGGGTAAAGGTGGGGGGCTTGCCATATACATACACAAACGTGTAGCTGACTCTGATAAAATTGATATTTTCAATCCCAACCCTGAACCCTCAAATACTAGCGGCGAATTTCAATTTATCAAGATCCACCAGTGTAAAGGATATAATAGAACAAAGATAATTGGAAATGTTTATCGCTCTCCCGCTAGAAAACCTGAAGCATTTCTTGAAATTTTTAAAAGTACGCTTCACAACCTGGGAAGACACTCTCGCAAACATATGACGTTACATGGAGATTTTAATCTAAATTTACTGAAGCACAGTAGCAACCAGGCATGTCAAAGCATTATAGATATTGCATCCTCTTACGGTTTCATCCAAATTGTATCACGTCCAACTCGCATAACAGACCACAGTGCCACGCTTATTGATCATATCTACACGAACAATCTTGAAGATACAATAAGCTGCAACGTATTAACGACAGATCTGTCGGATCACTTAGCGATAGTTACAACAATTAATCTTGATACTACATCCACCAGCAGTTACCGCTCCGCATCTTATAATCAAAATCCAACACAAACCAACGTACGTAGTTTTAATGAGGCCAACAACCATAAATTTAGAGATTTAATAATGGAAGAAAATTGGTCTGTAATACTAACAAATACCCCTGATGCTAACCAGCAGTTTGATTGTTTAAATTCGGCTTACAACAGGATTTATAACGCTGCCTACCCGACAAAAAGACAGTCCGAGCGCAGACAAAATGAACGTGTTAATCCCAAACCATGGATACTGCCCTGGCTTGAAGAAGCTATAGAACGTAAAAATCAGGCATATCATGATTTTGTTAAGGAACCAGTTGATAGGAACCAGCTAAAATATGACCGTTTGAAAAAGTTTTGCACCAAACACGTTGACAAAGCCAAAAACATACACTACAAAAAATTCTTTGAACAACACAAAGATAATTCTAAGAAGCAGTGGCAGATGATTAACGGACTTCTGAATAGGAAACCAGCCAAACCTACATCGATAAAACTGTCGGACGAAAACGGACAAGTCAGCACTCCGGCAGCAGTAGCAGAAAAATTTAATGATCACTTCTCAAACATCGCTCCAAAAATTAAATCTGAAATTAGTAGTAGGACCACTTTCGATCCTGGTGGGGCCCAGGGGACACTACGTAATCCTTCTCCAAATAGTATCTACATAAAACCAGTCACAACTACCGAAGTTCAAGACGTTATTAACCTATTTAAGAATAAAGCTACTCTTGACACCAAAATCCAACCACTCAAAATTGCCAACAGCTGTCATAATTTTACCACTGTATTGGCCCACGTTGTTAACAGCTCGTTCGAACAAGGGGTCTTTCCCCAAGCCTTGAAAACGGCAAAAGTAGTTCCTGTACATAAAGGTGGATCTAAAACTGACATCAAAAATTACAGACCGATATCTCTACTTGCCACTTTCTCAAAAGTCTACGAAAAGCTTATGCACAATCGAGTCATAAATTTCTTGGATACCTACAATATACTTTGTGAAAATCAATACGGCTTCCGCCCAGGTAGGTCTTGTGAACATGCACTTCTTAATGCTAAAGACAGAATCCTCAATTCAATGTCTAAAAAGCAAGTTACTTTGCTCCTCTTGATTGACTTTAGCAAAGCCTTTGACCTTGTGGATCACTCCATACTCCTGAATAAGCTCGAGCACTATGGCATAAGAGGTCTAGCTTTAAACTGGTTTAAATCATATCTTATGAACAGAAACCAGTTTGTATCAATTGGATCCTCTGAATCCTCAGCCAATCCAATTATTTACGGTGTACCCCAAGGTTCAATTTTGGGACCTCTCCTTTTTATAATCTACATAAACGATCTTCCTCAAATATCAGAAATAGCTAATTTCATCATGTACGCAGATGATGCAAACATTTTCCTAACAGGAGAAAATATAAACGAGGTTTATGATAAGCTCAAAATTCTTAGCGATGTCTTAGTTAAATGGGTAGATAACAACGGATTAGCTCTAAATCTTAAAAAAACGAATTATATGATCTTTTCTCGACAAAGAAACCTCATTTATCGCGATGTAGTAATTTCTGGTGTCACAATCGAAAGAAAAACAGAAGCCCGTTTCTTAGGTGTTATAATAGATAACAAACTGAACTGGTCGCAACATATTTCTGCCATGAAAATGAAAATGGCCAGATACATTGGAGTCATGTACAAACTTAAAAAATATTTGCCTCTGGAAGCACGTTTACAAATATATCACAGCTTTGTGCAGTCTCACCTTAATTACTGCTCCCTCGTCTGGGGTTTTGCTGCCAAATCCCATATAGAAACACTATTTGTTAAACAGAAAATGGGTCTTAGAGCAATACTACCAGGTTTTGTTAATTACTGGTACAAAGATGGTACACCACCAGCAAGTACCAAGTCTGGTTTCTATGTACACAAAATATTGACAGTTCAAAGTATCATCGTGAAGAACGCATTAGTTTTTATACATAAGCTAAAAAACTTCCCAAGTCTAGTGCCTCCCTCTATAAAGAAAACAATACCTAACAGTGCACCAATATTTAACGTCGCCGATCCGGATTCGAGTCATACAACTTTATGGTCAGATGAATACGGTAAACACCCTTACAATAATTCAGTATTCTACAAAGGTCCACTATTAGCAATAAACAGATATAGTGTCGCAGCAACTTCCTTGCCAAGTCTATTCAACCTTAACATCTACAAAAGGTGCATAAAAAACATGCTCATTGATCAACAAAACGAGGGCATTGCAGACGAATGGCCTAACTTTATGTTATACAATATAACGGGACTAAGGAAATCAGAGCGCAACATCAACCGTAATGCTAATAATAACTCTGTCCCATAAGCACGCCATCACAGAATCAATTTCACTGCATACCATCTCAGTTACACTGCCATCAATTCGCCAGCAAAAACGGCATGACGCTATGCGACTGATAACAGTCGTTAAATTTTAAAAATTTTGGAATAGCTAGCTAGCAGTAGCTATGCGCCTGTTTCCACTCTAACAACTCTAAAAGCATATTAATATGATAATTTCAACTAAAGGCAACTTTATATGTGCTCAGCTATGTTTTGTTTCGACAAGCTCTATTATATACATTTTAATCGTTTTAATGAGATCTAATCTTGTATGAGTTTTGAGTTTGAATTGATAACACTTATTATATATATTATTTTTTGAGTAAACATTGGCTGGTACTTCGGGCCGGTCCCCAACAAAAAAAAACTAACTTAAGAATAGCTCCATTTAGATTTACACTCATTACCACATCTTATAACTATTCACTTATATAACTATTATAACTTATAACTGTTAATGTACTTAAACTATTCCTTTACAGTCCATTAACCTCCAATTAGTTATGCAAGGATAGTAGATAATGACTGATGGAATCATTGACACACACGTTTCTTCTCAGAACAACATATGGGAGGTGAGATTAATTTATTTTTAGTTTTTCCTTCCTGTTTTGACTAAAAGATCCGTTTTACGGTTAATCCTGATGCGGATTGTAGTAAGAGGACATGGTGATTAAACTAATTTAACAATATAGCCTACGAATTTGTAAAACTAAAACCAGATGACTAACCAGGCTTTTTTATCACCAGGTGCAGCCAATAGACGGTAACTTTAACCAGATCTTCAACTCTGACGATAGTGGAGATGAGGAAACCTTCTCGCTGCCCTCTCTCCCCTCGCCGCTGCGTGACGACGCGACCTTCTCCCCCCGTATCCACTCTCCCTTAAGTCTGGGAGATCCTCTTACCTCTCTAACTCTACCAACTCTACCTTTCGCTACTCCAAAACATGAATTTAGCAGATCATTCTCTTTGTCCGGAGATTCACCCTCAGAGTTTGAGAAGTTTACTGGAGTGTTAGATTTGGGTAACATGGACGCTAGTAACGGGTCAATGACTCAGCTGTTCTCCCCGAATAGAACCAATATCGATGATCTGGATCTAAGAGACCTCATCTTACCTAAACCCATCCTGCCCGCCTCACCTGCTCCCAGAACGCCTCTAAACCTTGAGAATCTTCTGGAAGTAGATTCCAGAAGTTCCCAAGAACAACTGCAGGATATAATTAACACTGCCGCTAGTGTCCAGCCTGGATCATCCCCTAAAGCTTCAATCACTGAAGTATCTCGAACCACAACTCCACAGGCTCCCATCAAGGCTGGGGCAGTTTCGGAGTTGACAAAATCTGCTGCAGGTGTTCCCTTATCTGACGAACATGTTTCTAAGATTGTGAACATGCTCGATACTATTATATCCAGTAATCAAAGTAAGGTTCAGCTGTCTGCTATCCCAAAAGACAAGGCTGTCCTCCCAGCTACCACTACCAAACCAATGAAGCCCAAGAAACCACGCGGTAACTTCGTCCCTCCTGATTCAAGCAGACCACTTGCTAAGAAGTTAAGTCAGCCTAGAAGCAAAACAAGATTAAAAGTAAGCTCCGCAGCTCCTCCTAAACCGGCTCCAGGAAGTCCTGCTTCTAACGGTTACTCAAATGTTAGTTCCCCGTCAAGTCTCTCATCAGCCTCATCTGATAACACTTCCTCGACCCTGGAGACTCTAGCCTCATCTCTGGGCATTGTTAGACCTGCCAAATCTTCTCCTCAGATCAACAAAACCTCCACAACTCATCCTCAAGTAGTTCAGACTGTTAACTCCACTCCCAGAGTCAAGAAAACTATTGTCAAGATTAACCAGGGCCACACCCAACAGCCTATTGTTATTGGTAAGATGAATTCTGATACCAAATCCAATCCTAAAATGCTCAAGAAACCTGTAGTAATCTCGCAAATCCCACCCCAATCACACTCTACTATTCGATCTAAACCCGCAGTTAACAAGGGCCCTAAAATAGTGTCCGCTACTATAAAAACGGGTGCTCCGACCTCAACCAACAAAGTAGTCGTCCCTTACAAAAGTCCTGCCGTCAAAACAGAAAGCAAGAAATACGTCCTGCTTCCACTCGAGAAACTACAAAATGTCAGCCCTAGTGTCATATCTCAGCTGGGTCTGGACAATGCCCTGGCTAGCAGCAACAAACGACCAGCTGCTGCCTTGCCCGAGAAAGCAACTGCAGACAAACGTATCAAATCAGAGACAATCCAACCTTCAACCAGCTTCACTGAGAAAACACAATTCCCCATAAACATAACACTGCCCAACCAAACTAAAGAAAAGTTAAAACCTGAGTTTACTGGCAGTATTCCAGAAATGATTGAGAAAGCAAGAGCAAAACGAAAAACTCACTTGTCGAGCATGTCAAACTTTACGCAGATGGAGAATTTCATCAACGAGTTCATTCAGCAGAACAACGACCAGGTCATGGAAATCTTGTTCCTGAAACAAAACAACAAAGAAATTAACCGGAAGTATAATCAGTTGGCCAAGTTGTTCCATACCAAGAACGATGAACATCTAAAACTAAAACGGGAAGTTGAGCAGCTGGGTGCTTCTAATAAGAAGATGGAGAAAGAGCTGAAGAGCATCAAAGATCTGATCAAGAAATATATATCCTGAGTAGGGCTGGCCTCTTTTATTCTACCTGGAGGCTGAGCCATTAGTTGTGATATGTTAGTTTAGCGACAGTACCTGTTATTGTTTCTGAGTTTTAATCCTGAGGTTAACCCAAGAAATAGTAATTTAAGAACGTTCTTACTAGGCTAGGTCAAAACACGGTTTTAAAAAGTAGGAATTGAGGTACATATTTGAGATATTGCTTGACATTCTTTTAAAATTACGTAAAAATAACGTAAGGGTTTTAAAGCTCACAGTTTTACCGTTCTTAGTCATTGATTGACTAGATATTTTAAGCAGTATGTCATTTGGGATTGTGGGCGATTGTAGATCAATCGTTGTACTAGTATTTAATGAAATGTGTCTGATCTATGTGCCTATTCTAACAGATAATGGACTCTGTAAGATATATTTGTTTCTGATAAGTCGCTACTGCCAAGCTGAGTGGTTAAAAGCCAAACACGTCAGCGCTGAACAAACGTTGTTCGTCCTGCTAATTTTAGTCAGTTTATGGAAATAGATTCGATCACTTATTTGATTTTTTATAGTTAACTTATTACAATCTGGATGCACATGTAACTTGTCTTGTCACATGATGTAGTTAATTTATTTCTTTACTTTTTATGTAATCAGAAAAAAAAATCGATATTTACTTCGAGTCCTTCAATTAGTTTATTCCAGGTGAAATGTCACATTCATAGAATGCACACTCCATTATTTGTGAACTTGGAATAATCAATTCTTGGAGCAGAAAAAAGGAGCTTGGAAGATTTGTGTGATAATAATGTTTATTGTAGCTTGAATGTCGTTTATATTTTTTAGATAACGCGTTTCAACAGTTTGTCCTGCAATTTTGCACAAAACGGTACCATAAAATTGAATTTGGCACGGACCCAAGTCGAATACATTATTACAAGCCCGTTCACTTAAACACCTGACCACTACGAAATAGCAAAATCGCAACTCTCTATGCATGTTGCCCAGTGCCCCATTAACATGGTATACTGATTAACTATAAGTGTAATACGAAGAATAATGATTGAAACCGGGAAAGTGATTACTGTGTAATTTGTAATTGAACGGTGAGTGTAACTGTTGCTGCAGTGAAGGGCAGGTGCGATGCTGTGTACTTCCAAAGCACTCGATTCATATCTTTTTTGACTAGCGAATTTTGTCTTCATTCGCATACAAACTGCTTCAAATATGTTGTCAGTATTCGAATTGCGCGGCTTTTTTCTCGTAATCTTGGCGTCGTGTCACATTTCTGGAATGAATCCGCGACCAGATTCATTCGCACTCTTAACTAATCGTCCAATTAATGCACTGCTGACATAGTACCTTCATGCTAACACAAGACTTGATCAGGGAATGACAAACGATCTGCGAGAGCAGGTAATATTCTTTGACTGCGACATGTCCATACCCAAGAAGCTAAAAACAACACCCCTTAGGGGAAGACACACTATGAGGATCCTGATCTTCAGGTTAGCTTTGCGATCGAGAGGAGACCATTTGGTTCGGATGAAGCTCCCTGTTAAGTTAGAAATAGCAGATGAAAACTTATTCAACTGCTCCGCTTTCAAACAATGGGAACAGTCAAATCATTCATAGACTGTGACATGAAGCTATTACCTGTTCTATACCTGATTCCGTTTGGGGCCGGGGCGTTTCCAGACAAGTCAATGCAGCTTCCCAAATAATTCGCAAGCCATTATAAGTAAGCCCTATAGCATACCATAGAAATACGGAACTACAAAAGATGTAGCTGCGTCATTTAACATTCCGTGTTTGAAATAAATTGCCGCATTAACACCTTTTGACCTCATAAAACCGACTTTCCCAGAAGCTCTGCAGTCTGTTTACATATTCATACCCCATCCTGCCGAGTTATCTGTACGTAGGTAATTTAGACAGCCAGTCAGTTAAGTCCTGGAGGCTGGAGGGGGGTATTGTTGAGTTTAAGGTGGCCGCCCCTGTAGCCAGGGAGCTGAGTAGCTGTCCAACTAGCGACTGGTCGGGTTTTAAAGCTGCGAGCCCTATAATTGTGTTGACAGGCTTGCAGCACAGAACTGAGGTTGTCAGATACACTGCTCAGTACTGTAGTGTACAGTTAACTGTATATTGGAGTAACACGGCCCTCTCCGTCTCATTAATTAGGTTTTCAAGCACGCTGTTTTGCATTATAGGGTGCCCTCTAAAATCATCATCACACGGTGGAGTGTGGATATTAGAGGGGCGACAATTTGCTCTCCTTTTCGTACATCAGCTGGTCATTGTGGTTACTAGGTCGTTGGTTTGGGACGATTATGTAACCGTTTTGGCAGGTCCGTCCCTCCTTTACGTGTTATAATGTGTAGCTGCCCCTCTGTGCCCTGCATCTTTGAGACTCTACTTATTACTTTTAGCGGTTATTATTCTTGTGATGCACATATCCGTTTTAAAATTATACACTATCCAGCGCAAAAACATGGAGCTCTGTTCCGGTGCTCTTCAGATAGTCTGAAACGTGTCAAATCGTGTTGTCACAGAATCTTGCACGTCAAGAAACAAAAACTACTTGGCAGTCACCACTGTTCAGTCCACGTATTACAACTGTCAATTAACTTATCACGACATATGTACTATGTAGGAGTATTAGTATTTTTATCCGAGATTGGTGATCTTGTCTTAAAATTGCTGAGCTGATGCTATATTAGAAACGCACCTCTATCTGAAACTATATCCCGATTAGTTAGTTGAAGAGTCTAGACATAATACTAGGGTAACATTTAGTTGCCACAACAACCAATAACATAACTCCAAGCCCAGTCTTGAAACTGAGTTGTTAACCATCTCGAATGTTCGACCCGCCCATCATCACCACGTAAAAGCTTATCAAGTTGCAACTGTGTAATGATTATCTGCCTTGAAGTTGTCTACTTCCGATTGTTTTGTAGACAAAGTAATCTTTTTTTAGAATCCCCGTCGAGGTTTACTTATTTCAACTTATTTCTGCTTTTCCGTCTCAAATGATTTATTACAGATTAACTCTGCTTAGTGCTTATAACCCTGCGGGGTGAATTAAGTCGTTTTAAAGTCACATTGCTGACTTTCAATGAGCTTAGATGCTTGACTTTGTACTTTCACTTCCAGTGATGGCGTGTCTTGGCACGCTCAGTTCTTGAAAATGGAGATTGGAGGTATAAGTGTGATCAGTTAACTAGGATGGTAGTTGACAGTTCATCTAACTAGGATCGTAGTCTAGAGCCACTACCACTCTGGTAGTGGTTCTAGACTACGATAAAGCGCAAATATTAATTTATGCTCTTTCGTAAAATCATGACATGCTCAGTTCTTACAAGTTGCTTATAAGAGGGTTCAACGTGGTGTCATCTGGGATGGTAAACCAGAACCACTGCCACACTAATTATGATATTATACAGCGATACGAGCTCCGACAGAGCCAACCATTTACCTTATCTTAACCAAATATGGTCATATTAGTTTCATTGTCTATGTTCGAACACTTATATAAGCTCTTTGAGCTGCTCTCATTGGATTGGTATCTGTTGTTTGGTATCTCCGGCTTCTTTCTCTCTCTCGCCTCATGCTCTGGAATGCTCGCATACTATGAGGGCTGGTATTTGTGAAATTCTTTGCCTGCCCTGGACTTGCATAGATGACATAACATAGGAAACATTAACTGATAGCTCCTCATTACCATGAGTGGTATTATTCTGCTCTCTCTTCCTCTAGCCCCTCATTGGATAGGGGCTCATCACACACTATAGTCCATACTTACTCTCTTTGCTTCTGATACCGACCGAGACTGTTCTATACATATTTAGAGTACATACGGTTTATAGTGGTTTCTCAATTGTAGTTAGTACATGTAAAACTTCTTGTTGTCTTGTTTAAAAACACAATATTGTAGCAACAGAGTTGAGTATAATATGCAGTGACTCGTTAGAACTTTAAAACTCTCCTCTGCTGGGTCTCAGTCGACCTCCACTTTTTATACCGGAACTTTGCGTTGACATGGTACAGTTTGCCAAGTCCCTCTATGACGCATTTATCAACAACCTGGCACCATTCATCGCCTGTTTTGACGGTAATCCTGTCACTTTAATAACTTTAGTTCATAATTTGTATCCGCACTTTCAGGGTCGATGAACAGTCATTGTAGGTTTATTAGAACGTTAAGTTCATTTGGGTTTACAAGGGGGACCCAGACTTAAAGACTGGCTGCTTTGTTCGAACCCTTTGCTATGCTAATTCTGCAGCTGACTTGCTCGCTTGTTATGCTAACCTGCCCTAGTGCTCCTGCCAGGAATTTATTTATACTACACTAAGGATCTCACTACTATCAGACTACACTCTCATTACACAATATACTATTGAGCAATAGGCCCTTACATTGAGTGTACAACCTAACGGATAAGGAACTCATTTCCTCTCTTTTGTGAAGATTGATATCGCTCTTACTCTGTTCAAACCAGCAATGGTTCATAATCTAGTAATACTATCGTTTTATTGTGGTTTCTTGTCTAATCATTAGATTGTTACCATCAACAGTCGTATCAGGGTCACGTGATACAAACAAACAAGTTCCTAATGGGGAGTGGGTGTATGAGAGAGGTCGTGTTTATGTTCCTTAATTCGATTTCCTCCGCATAATCTAGCATATATTCCTTCAAGAAGATAATCTTGTTTCAGTTATTAGTTGATCTACAGTTTACACGAGTGTCCGTGATTATTGCTCAGTCAGAAGTCTGTAGTCGTTCGTATCAGGCTGCATAGTCGCAATGTTCCGTGTACGTGTAATAGTTTTTGTGAGTTTGTGTAATTGTTTGTTTGTAAGTCCTATACAGTTATATACATTGTTTACTTCTAATTCCTAATTTCAAACAATAGAGTTTTAGTAAACCATAGAGGACTCTTTTGTGTTTAGTTTATTAAATGACTGTTTTGTGTGTGACCCCTTCATTCTCTTATCCGTGCTGCAGCTATGACGAAGTTATTGCTTTATTTTTAACAGTGTTCGGCGGGCACGGAGGTGGAGTGCTCAGGTCGACCCTGAAGCCTTTATTATGTTGAAAAGAGTTACATATTTAACACTCAACATATATAACGGAGCTGAGCACATTTTACCTTCCGCCTCTACCCGATTTGTGCAGCTTCCTGTTTTCTCTGGCTTTGCCAGATTATTTAGACCTCTAATCTTTGAGGGCACGAGAATTTAGTAGCAGTTTGACGATTACTTTGAAATTTGAGAGGCAGCACTGCTTTAATTTTGATGTAATTGGAATGAATGCAGTCAGAGAGTGATATATAATAATATAATATATTCTAAGAACTGTAACTTTGTCAGATTGATGAGAAGACTATGTTATAGCCTGGAGAGAAACAAGGAGGACTACAGATCCCATAACAACAAGGTGCAGATCTCATGACTTCAGTTCCTCTACCCTCACACCTCAATGGAACTACAGGTATATTATATTATGTTAAACTTATTAAATACTGCTGATAAAAACAAGATAATATGTAATTGATCTGTGCTGAGAAATTCTTTATCTTTGTAGTGTTTACTTGCAGCTTCGTCTAATATTGCGGTCAGCATATGATTAGCTATAAGATGATCAGGAGACCGACCAATCGCATGTGTGGGCTGTGGTCACGTGTCAAAACAAATGTAGTCTAACTTCAAATCAGTCCACAATCCAGATTGGCGTGTCAGCGTCCGTTTAATTTCCCACATTTTCACGGTTTTTATCGCTGTGATCTTATCAGTAACTTGATTTTAACAATATTTAAAATCATGTTGCCAGGAAAGTTTTTCGAAACAATAAGTAAATTTAAATATTTGTTTATATTTGTTGAGCTGGTGTTTTGATACGACACGACACGCTCAGAGTTTTGGGCCCGGCTTGTAGACAAGCATGACCTACTTCAATTAATTTCAACAACTTCTCATTTATCCGATGTAGTACAATCTGGCCCGTGTTCACTGTGTAACTCCTGGTTTTATTTGCAGTATACTTCACGCTGTGCAAACTTGCAGACTGTACTAATTGTAGAGGCCTTCTTTAATTTTCCTTCATCCGGTTGTTTTATTGTTCGCTTCAGGTTCTTAGTCACGCGTTCTTTCACTTTAACTTGCTTAAGTTAAACTTGCTTAAGATGTCTAACGAAGAAAAAATATAATTGTTAATATGAAGTGAGGTCATTACTTTACTGGCCACTATTGATGGAGCCGTTATAGACCGGTAGTATAAAGGCTGTTACTAGTAAGATAAAGGCGTTTAACGTAACGTAATAAAGGCCGCTAGTAATATCCTCCTGGTCGTGCTCATAACAAGCTAAGTGGTATATCATTTAACTACTTAACTGCTTACCACAGATCATAGCGCTACCTGTACAGCTTTCCACTGGATACTCCGTGTACTATACTGTACTAGAGCTCTTTTAAATCCAAACTAAAATAATATATTGTAATGCGCTTTCTTTTAAAAACCGTCAATTGACCGCAATATCATGAGTTTTGTTATTCATTGTTTGGCCCGGTATGTACTCGTTTAAGTAGTGCACATTTTTTCTTGTTTCTTTCGGGTATTTCTGTTGAAGTATGTGGATTTTCGTGTGCTACAGGATTAGAAATCGTAACAACAAACGAACAGGTAAGTTATTATGTTTAGTAACATAAGTTATTGCTGTTAAGTTTTCTACCTAGGGAGGTTAATGATCAACTAAACCTTTACTACCTTGTGCCTTGCTGTACAACTTGGTTCCAATTGTCGCTGTAAACCTCAGCTAAATTCTCCGCTAACTATCGCAAGAATTTGGAATATTTGGTTGCTACCTAAAACACCCGGATTCAGATTATCTTAACCTCTAAATAAATTATATCAATTCCGCTGAGCACGTGTCCTCTTATCGCTGAAGTGCATTCTTTACATCGCTGTAGTCATAACGCACAGCCACAGTTGTGCCACATGTACCACAATTTACCACGTGCACCCTATTACGTTGCTATGATACCACTATTTCCCACGTTGCCGTGACACCACGTGTGCTCGCGCCAGATGGTATTTTGTGGAACACCTCGCACCCTCATACGATAACTGAGAGGTTTTGTACAGCACGAAATGCCCAAATACGGTATAAAAGCTGTCTTATTATTGACACAATAACATCGTGTACCCTCGTCTTGGATTCACTATAGGGGCTCAATGCGTTCAATTATGTACTTTCTCATTTTCTTGTGGCGCAGTCTCTTTTTCTCTAAATTCTCTTGCTGCTACAGTTTGGTTGGACGTTTCCTCAAGGTTTTGTACCTGTTTTAAGTTGCTCTCCCAGTCACGAGACCTCCCAGACTGCCAAACTAATTTATGTAAATTACAGCGGAGTAGTTGCTGTAATATGTTACTAACGACCACCTGGTTTAGTTTTGCGGTGGCACAACCTAGCGCTCCCTTGTAGCCGTGTGTTCAACATTTTCAACATTCAGTAGATGTTGAAAAAGTTGAATAACGATCACATACTTGTAGGATTAAACACGTGCTCTGTCGACAAGCAAGTTAACTGTGTAGGAATCAAACTTGAATCCTGAGTTACGTGAAGATTAATAAGATTTTGTGTCTATAAAGTATCAAACCTGGCAAGCTTCCAGATTATTCACTTTATTATCACGGCCCTTGTGTCTGTGGTACTCTCTCTGGCAATAAAATACTGTCTGTGGTTTCTGTGGTTTGCGTGATTTGCGTGTTTATTATCTGGCACAACTCCCATTCACATTATAATTAACTTCTAACCACTATTAAGCTAGTTCAAATATTCAAGCCGGCATTTTGTAAACCAACTGTAATAATTTAAAATTTAAATTCTTTTTGTAAACGGCGCTCATCTTTGTAAAAGAATATGTTTCTATTAAGTTACATTCTTTCTATTAATAGTTACATTCTTTATGTTTATTGTATATTGAGGCCAGTTATCATTCTTCTTTATTCAATTGGATACAGTGAGATCTGACTCTACAATAAACATTTTCAAATCTATACATTATGATATACACTAGTTCTGGTTAATGTTAACTGTTAAAAGTGACACGTGACATTACAGTAAGATATTACATCATAATTATGTTTTGGTAAGGCATGTCAGAAGTCGTCATGAAGTCAAACACAAGGAAATATCTCTAAACAAAGTGTAAAGTTCACATGTCTTGAGAAAGAGCAGCGCCGCACCCTCATTTGAAAGCAACACGAGCTGGTACACATTCTCATGTGACTAGCTCTCATAAAGTACTCGGTCATTGGCTCTCTTCAGAGATGTAGAGAGTACTACAATCATTGGCCCTCTCACATTTTTATTGCATTTTATTTCCTGTCCTCCAGCCATTACATAGCAGTCTCTGCTTTTGTTTCGGATTTTACGTAGGTCAACCCTTCAACATGCTAATTATTGCTCCTTTATTAATATTTGTGTTACTCGCATGATGTCATTTTAAGACTGTAGTTTCGTAATAAAGGCGCAAATGACCACGTGCAGTGTACATTGTACTCGACTCTTAAGCAACCCTTACAATATCTCTATTATATACCTTCAATTTTCATTTGTCGGCAGTAATATCGGGTCATCAACGCCTTGTGGTTCAATCCATCAGATTACCCTACATGTACCCTACATTTACCTTAGGATATTGCTGGAATGGTCTCTCGTCCGCATCTTGATTCAAATCCAGTTTTACATTGATCACCATGGTAATGAACGTGTCACCATGGTGATGTACGTGTCACCATGGTGATGAACGTGTCACCATGGCGACGCCCTTTTGTTTTGTTATCGTGTGAGGCATGTTCATTTGACCAGGTATACGTGACTGGTGTCATGTAACATACACTGTTTTACCTTATCTTACCTTATTACAGAGCCAGTTGTTGTGTTTGTTTTCTCACTGTCACATGTTTATCAGCCCCCGTGCACCCCAGTAGCTACTTGATACTGTGTTCTGTGTAACTTTATGAGCTTTCAGTCACGTACAAGGAAACACAGGTCCTGACTTAACACGATTCTGCTAGGATCTGAAATGATCTTATTTGATCTCAGTAGTGACTAGTGCGTTGTATCTTGATGTTGCGTTCCCAAGATAGAATCCTAAAAGTTTCACTAGAACCGACTGGATTTTTATTTCTAGTGTTGAGATGTTTGAAATTAAAACTTGAAACTTTTAAGTGTTTGAAAGTGACTTCTTCAAGCCTCCTAGCATAATCTCTTCTCCTGTGAATGTTGCAAAGAGTTTCATAATAAGTGTTTCCAATAACTACTGTCCGTTAATCAGATTCCAAGGATTGTGAATTTTTCTACTTCCTGAATAGTGAGTGATGAGTGTTAAGAAGCGCGTGTCGTGTAAATGTAATGAGATTCCGTCATTCAATCAGCACAAACCTGCTATTTACTTGATCCAGTTATTTGTTGACCCGTTATCACTTGTATGCGTTTTCTCGTTGTCAAACACTGTACAGGATTCTGATGAGGTGAACGCAGCGACTATCCCCCTGTCCCCCCTGTCTCCCCCTGTCCCCCTCATTAGTCTCGCAACTCGCTTCTTCTGTAATAATAGCTTTCAGTCTTCATCCGAGCGTGACATTCCAACAATGAGTCGTCCCATTTGGTACAGTTCACCTAATGGAGGTAGATGATGAGCTGAGAGGGCCTACATTTGCAAGTACTCTTTATTGTGTGATCCACTTTTTATTATGCATAGTGACTAATGTTATAGAAGAGTTGACGCTCCCACTCTGTAACGCTACAGTGTGACTCTTCAAACAGATGCGGCATAATAAACTGAGTGTATATAAATCTGTCACTTCGTCCCTATTGCGTTATATTTTTCTCACGACTTTTCAATCATTTGTATTCTGGTTGATTTTCTCAGCCTTTGCTTTAAAAGTTGTTGAATTAACTTTTAAAATCAGTTTCTAAGTAAAAGATGTGGTCGCTGATCGTCATGAAGGGAGCGCTATCAAATTTATCTGTTTACAACTATTAAGCTTGATTTTCAAGTTAGGGTTCTTCGTTTTGCTTCTACTTTTAGAAATTTTGTTATGACAAGGATTATTTAGCGTTAAAGGGATAATTTTACGTTTAGAATTTTCAATGATTAGATTATAACGAGCCTTACAGTGTAGTTATAGTGCAGTTATAAGTACTTTGAAAATAAATTTACAAGACATTTTACGATCATATTAGCCATCCTTGATGGCTAAAGTTGCTTTATGAATCTAGTAGTGCTGGTGCATTCGTTGTTCTTTACTGCCTTCGTGGCAGATCTCCATATGTCACATATTTACATTTAAAATAGTTAAATGATGTGCAGGATTGTTTAGTTTAAATGGTTTATAAATGGCTTTAGTTTCGGTAGTTCCAGTTCCACTGATCTATAAATAACCTCAAGACAGTGCTGGTGCAAAGTTCTCAGTCTTTGAGCTTGAAGTCGGAGAGTTATATTAATTTCACTACTAAACCGGCCGTCAAATGGAGTCGCTTCTAATTATGACCCAGCAATCATATTCACTGTCACTGCATTGATATTATTCTTTACTTAAACTTAATGTAAAGACTTCTTTCTCGGTTATTGCAATTATGTAATGAAGAATGCGATTAAGAATAGTTTAGTTATTTATTTGGTATGATGTAGTCGATTATCCACTGACCTGTTTAAAGAATAAAACTGCGCGTGCCCTATTGCGTGAATCTCCGGAGAAATAAGTCTTAACTTTTAATTTATTACTGGTCAGCATATTTTCTCTGAAGCTTTATACTAAGAGTAAGTGGCCCGTTTGAGTTTGAGATGTTGCTAGCTTCCCAAACTTGAACAAAACAGCATCTGTGACGTTCGATAATGGGCATTTACTTTTACGCTAGATTAATCTGAGGGGTATGCCTGATGAAATCTATAAACTTTAAAGTCCGTCCATTTAATGACAAGTTTCAAGGGATGTCTTTCCCAATACAAGGTGTGTTAAATAACGTCAAACCGCAGCTGCAGTATTGCGCAACATCTTACCAGCGCAACATGCTGCCATCCTGACTCTCAGAAATATCGGCGTATTTCGAGATTTCAATTTTCTCTGCTCTCTCGTTCCTTTAGAGATTTGTCATAGTAGGATTCTGCGGAAATCTCTTACATTTGGTGTACCAGAAATTATGCACATTTAACACTACATGTGTCTGGTCTTTAAAGTATAATCTTGCCAGCTAGAATATATATTGTACATGTATGGTGTTTACACGGACTCAACAAAACAGTTGCCGGGTTTTTAACTTCTTCCAATTTGTTCATATCCTCTAATAATCATTTTCTGTCATTTAAAACCAAGATCCTACACCTGTCAAATGTTTATTTTTTATTTCGTATTGATTTGCTGGCTGATAATCTTAACTGGCTAAACTAAGAAACTATTTTTTTAAATCTGTCAAAACTCCAACTGACTCTTGACAGATGTGCACGTTTAGTGGCTTCTCACTATGTAATTGAAACAGGGCGTTGCGAAAGTAACACCCCACCCTATTAACCGCCTCTCTCTTAATGAAAGTAACACCCCTACCCTATTAACCGCCTCTCTATCTCTTTTAGCAAAGCGAGAGTCGGCCCTCCAAAAGTACACATACAGCGGCGACTCCTGTGAGACAAGACTACCCAGATACCATGCTACCTCCACCAAGATGAACGTCTTCCAGTCCATCTCCTCCTTCCTCCGCAAGAATAAGAAGGTTCCAGAGCGAGCTGAACCTCTACAAGCTAAGAGACCGGCGGAGAGAAAGGGATCTTCCGTTGCTGAGTCTGATGATGCTGATAACAGTGATAAGGTTTGTTATATTTTATAGTGATTTTTACAGAGATAAGATTACTGATTAGTTATGTGATAATACTGTTTACATAGATAATATTAGTTATTTGTAATAATAAGTTTAACAGCGATATGGTTTTTGCCAGTGTTATCTCAATTCCTGTACCTGTACCCGTACAGTGTACAAGTTTTAAGTCACCCGTACAACAGTACTGGCAATGTAAATGCCAGTGTTACTTACCTGGTATATAGGTACCTGGTACCAGCTAATAAACCTGCCTTCTGGATACCTGTAGTCTGTATACCTGTAGTCTGTACCAGCAATCGTGAGGCTACAATTACTACTGGGAAATAGCCAAATTTTGTTACGCTAAGCTGATTGATAAATCTTCCAATAAATCAATATGGTTAAACAGATGATCACCGTGTTATCGTCACTGGACCCAGCTACTGCTAGTAACCACATACGATATCTTCATGTGATTTCGCTGAGTTCGCATTTAGTGTGCCGTGTAGAGTGTAATGTGCAGAGCTCTTTTGTTCTGTAACGTTATGAGTAAAGAGTACTAGCCTCTATCCACCGTTTACTTAGTTTACAAATAGTCTCCCGGTAATACTAATTGTAGTCTGTGTTACTGTCTGTATTTGTGTAGTTCTAATTAGTGATCAGGATTGTTCGGCTTATCGAGGAAAAGCAGCAGCAATCAGCATGGTGTCACTTTCGGTAATAAATAGTCTTGTTTTAAGGAGCCGTGTGTTATGATGTTTTGAACATGAAATTGTTCTAACCATTTACTCGGCCAAGGCGCATATTATTTATACATTTTAATTAAACATTATACATTATACAACCATGCAATATACACTGGAGTTTTCATCGCCCTGAATTTCAGAGGGTAGAAGAAGAATCCTATGAAGGAAGCGAGCTGAGTGATGATAACAAAGATGACATCGCTTTTGTCCGGTACGTGACGCATAACTAGACATGCCGTTCAATCTTCCGCATTTTATTTTGATTTTGGACATTCTTGAAGTTGCTTCGCTCTCCGTTATTCTATTATTTATAGATTCGCCATTTTGAAAATTTGACCGGACAAATGTTCTTCTCAGACAGACCAACCGACACACAATTATCAAGCGTACAGACTTCAACCGACGACGGATAAAATCCGTGATCGTGTAGGTGACTGACTGAGTTTACCATATTCGGGCACCTCAGTTTAGTGCTAGAATTAGAATTAACACAAAACATGGGAATTCTTAAGACTAGTGTGACAGTGAAATCACACTTGCAGTCACGTGGTTGTCATGGTCACGGGGTGTCGTGAATCTGTAACTAACGACATGTGTGTTCACTGCGAGATTGCAATTTCCTCAAAGCTTGGCCGCTCATTAACCTCCCATATTCATTATTCCTATACATAAACTATTATTATCTTGTTGTTCGTTTGTGGTTATCTTTGGCTGATAATGTTTTGTGCAGCGCAAGAGAACTCTAACTCCTCCTCCCATTGGTAGAACCCTTATAATTTGAACTTCATTAATTGTATTTCCTCTCTTTCACTGAACAAAACAATTCTTTTTGCTTCAAACAACTCACAAGTTATAAATAATGCACTGGCTATATGACACACCCCACACTAATATTATCAGACAAGCACGCAATAAATCACTTGTTTGTTATATTCTTATTAATAGCTTACTTTTAAATCCACGTTATTTAATGCAACAATAATAATTGTTATTTGATCAAATTTATAATGCTTCTAAAAATAGCCTTGTTTTTTTATAAAACTAACGACATTTTATTTAATTGAGATATCCGAATGTTTCCGGTTCAGCAGCCAAATCTCTAAACCGGTCGCGGTACTCGGTTACCAGTCGTTTGTGATAATATGAAGTGTGGTACGTGGTAGATATTTATATAGCGTACTCTACAATCTAGATCTATAAAACGGAGTACGAGTTACCACGATAATCTCTCCGCTAACTGCTAAGTCTACAATTCTGTTAACTAACAACTGAGTCTGAGTTCAATTAAATGTTCATAGATATGGATTATAGATATCACATTCACACATAGTTAATTAAACAACATGAGACAAGTGGAAAACAAACAAACGAATAGATCTCTAGCTTGTAAAGAATCGTTGCTTGAGATCGGAGATTTCAAAACTATAGTTCGACAGTCGAAGTTCTCTTGTCGAACTTTAGTACGTGTCGAACTTGAGTCGGACCTTAGGGTTTGTCAGACTATAGTACGTGTAGAACTAGAGTGCGTGTCGAACCTAAGTACGTGTACCATTTAATTAACACTTTATTTCATCAGGTCGACGTTTAGACAGAGTGTAAAGAGAGCAATAGGATGGAGGAAGAGTCAGAGAAAAGCAGTAAACAAACGAAAAAAGGAAAATATCCACAACTCAAAGTTGCTGACAGGTGGAACTAAAGATGAAGACGAGGTTTGTGGTTTGGTAATTCTTTGCTAGTCATTATCGTTGTCTAAAAGTTTTTTTGTTGAGAATAAATATTTACTTTCAGGCCATGAAGTCCACCAAATCTCATAAATATATATTTATTGTACAGTTTTACGACGACACTGAGTTGGATGTCGTAGTGATAACTGAAGCAGACGGAATACCCGACGACCCCCAAATTAAGCGACTTCCTGTCCCTTCCTCCTCAAAAGGCAGCAAGATACCAAAACGTAGGAACTCTACCAAACGACCTGCCGTCTCCCTCAAATCCTCCGGTTTCTTCTCCCAATCTGTGGCGTAAGTTGGTGTTTTGTAAATGTATTGGGGCGCTGAACAAACTTAAACGCTGTTACCTTTTCCGCTATGAATCTTTCGCGTTTAAAATATTAAATGGAATTCTTAAAATGTTTGACGTTACTAATTATCTGGTAGGCGACCCAGAAAACGGCCAGATTCCATCTCGTTGAGACCAGATCCATGGGCCCACGCTGAAACTACATTCACAAGGTCCCGACACACTGCAAAGAGCACCAGGACCTGTTCGTTGTCAATGAATCAGAATAGACCTCCTCCAGTGCAAAGGAACCATACTCGGCACCCAACCTGGGACGGAGGACAAACCCGCAACAGGAACACAACAAGCCGCAGTAGTACCAGATCTTTATCTGCAGTTAGAGGAAGGAACATGAACCTGTCACGGAGCTCACTGGCTGGTAGTCAGATACCCCGGTATTTGGGCTCCACTAGTTCTGTCTCCTCCCCCGGTACCACCTCCCCCGACTATATGTTCCCGGGTCACAACATGAACCTGGCTGATCTGGATTTTAGTGACTCTGACACGGAGAACTGCAGAGTTCCGCCCTGGAGAAATAATGAGATTCTCCACGCTTACTCTAGGAGCACGGCTGAGACTCGGCCCTCCTCTCGAGCTACTTCCTCATCATGGTCCTCTAATCGTACCCGGTCCTCATCAACTACTGGGAGCCGCTACCAGTCTCGTAACTCATCCTGGAGCGGACGTCAGTGTCAAAACTCTAAGAGCACCAGTAACATCAGATCCACATTAACTCCCTCCCGGACAGACATGACGGGATCTCAATCTCGGATACCCCGGTACCTTGGCTCCACAACCTCCATGTCCTCTATCAGTCCCATGTCTACTGAGTACCACGTCCCTGGTTTACACTTCAACTATGCTGATCTGGACTTTAGTGACTCTGACGGCTCTGAGAAGACTAGATGCGATTCTACGTGCGTAGAGCATGATCACAGACACGAGGCATGGGCGATTAGGCTCGCAGCACTGTGAGCCTTGTGATTACTGCCAGGAATGCACATTTCAACAAATTGGGTTCCATTGGCATTTGGCATGCAGCCTGTACATAAAACGCATTTTTACAACGTTCCGAAAACCTTAAATATAAAATAAGGGGTGTTAACTTGCTAGACCTGATTAGTCTGTTCAATTGCAGTACAACTCTCGTTCCTCAAAATACAAGTCGGTGTTTGAGCGTTATTACACTTTGATCATATAACATCGAGACGCGTCGATCTGTTTGAAGGTTTTGCTTGTAACTGTTAATTATTTGGGTTTCGACGATCAGTCTTTCTTAATTCGTCTCTTTTTCTTTCTTGGACTTGACTTCTTTTTTCTACCTTAGCATGAGCACTTCAAAGTCTTCCTAATTGTTCCTTTATTTTTGCTTAATAATGTAACAAATATCATTGAAATTATCTCACTATTGGTAAGAATGATAACAGTTAAATGTTCAGAAAATGAGTTGTTTCCTATTGCTGATTCTCTTCTTTACAGGTCAAAGAGAAGCGAAGGGGGTAAGACCGTGACAGCGCGGACCAACAAGGCTAGTGAGCTGAGAGAAGTTGCCATAAAGAAAAAACTTGAGAGCACCCCCGGTCAATCCACAACTGTAAGTTAATTCTAACGGTTATATAATAATAAACTACTGAATATTGCAACTAGAGACAAATTCTGGGACATTTTGTAATATATAACTAAAATCTCTCCCCATCAGCCAGAGGAACCTGTAGAAATGGTATGAGTATGTCTGAGTGACCACCCTGATTACAATCACTTTTGTGGAATGCATTTGTCATGCAGATTATGCACTTTTGTGGGGAATTGATTCGATCCTAATAGTGCGATTATATGATCACCCTTATCGTCTAATTGTCTTATATGAGTTTGAAGATTTCTCCTTTTTCTCCTATGTTTAATCTAACGTGAGGTCTAACTTCAGGTACCGGCTGCTCCTGCGCCGACTGCTAGAAGAAAACCTCGCGCCTCATTCCGAACTAAGAAGGGTATCTCCCGCAGACCTGTACACAAGAAGGATATAAAACCTGCGGAGAATAAAGCAAGTCAGCTCCGAGCCAAGAAGAACAAGAGGAATTAGAGGATGAACAAAGACAGAGATCAGAATCTATTTCCAAACAGGCTGAGTCCAGAGAGCCGGATGCCAGGCGATCTGACCGGTTTTCTTCTGTTGCGATCAAAACGCCGGCTCCCGGTACTGAAAATAAGGACCCTCTAACATATACCCAGAACTATCGTAACGAATCAGTCTCTAGAATCAGAACTAACTCCGAGTCTAACAGACTCAGAACATCAACCTCTGATACGCCCACTACCAATATACCTGGGCGTGTCACAAAAAGTTCACCTCAGAAGCCGATAAGAAGCAAAATACCGTCCACCAGTTCCACAAGCTCCAACATACCGCCTCCTTCTCCCCGCCATTTGCCAACTCCTCCCACATTACCTCTTTCAAAATCCTCTGAAGACTTTCAGGCCCGCAAATATTCTGGTCGGTCAGAGAAAACATCTTCCAGCATACCCAAACCTAAACTTGGCTCCCCTCACGACCCCACTAAAGAACTTGTTTTCATACCTCTGGATAGTGTGTCGTTACCATTACCGACAAATAATAAGATTGATGACATGAAACGGAAACGAAAGATTCAGCGACCAAGTGGGGTCAGTAATATATTCCATGGTGGAGCTGGTGATTTACCGTCCAGCAACATTCGCAGACAACTTTCCAACGATGACTCGGACACCACTTTTACTGTCCATGTCAATAAAACTCCAACAAAATCTGTTCCAACAACGCCAAAAAAAACTTATGTTTCAAAAACTCCTGCATCCAGTTCAGTTCCAAATTCAAGCTCCATCCCCAGTAACTTATCATCACGGTTAAATTCGTCAGGGTGCATTAAAGATCGGGCAAAACCGAAACAGGTGCAAAACCTCAGTAAATTTACGAGAAAAAACAGTATCGAATCTGCTCGGAGATCAAAAAAAGGAATTCCGGCAATTTCTAGACTCTCAGAATCAAACTCATTTCACTCAGAAAGTTCAGATCCCGATAACTCAACAAGCTATGATTCTTGTCGGTCTGCGGATGACGATGAGTATCTCATTTCTTTGCCAGGATCCCCGCAACTCTGTGAATCTCCGAGGTTACCCGTCCCTAGAACACCCGCCCCAAAAACTCCTGTTTTAATATCGACAGACGATTTGGAGATTCAAAAGCAGAAGTTGCGAACTCCGACTAAGAGATCAGGTTCAATTAGCGTGAAGCAAGTTAGAATCCGCAAAAGTTGGATCCGTCCGAACACTGACAATGAGATATTGGATCCCGAAGTGAGTCTCAAAAACTTTTTAAATTTCCCTTACGAATTTTTCCAATCAACCGCACAAATTCCGTCTTGTTTTTTAACTCATTTTAATTTTAGAAGAAAATGCGTTTATGAATATTATGTTTCAGATTGAGAAAGTCAAAGTTGCTTTAAGCGAAGAAGTTCTTATCATAGAGGATCTTATAAGCGGACACCAGGATATTATCCAGAAGCTATCATCTCGTACACTGGTCAGTTTTCCTGAGCACCATTCCAAGATTGAGATCCTTACGGGATACCAATTAATTATAACTGAAATTAGTGATTACAACTTTGTAGATACACCCACAAGCTACAAGCCTTAAGAATATCTCCAAGTTTAACCCGGTAACTACTTGACAGGTTCTTAAGAACGTGACATCAGCTCTGAGGCGAAGTGACATGGAGAGAGCAGCGAGAATGACAGTTTCACTGTGCTTCCCCCGCTCACACCCTGATGAGGAGTTTAAATCTATGAGGCGAGCCTGTGTGTGTACTTCTGATGACTTGGCACTATTCCAAAACTGCCTGACTCTCTTACTGGTTGATAGGTATTTACTGTCTTGGTTAATTGTCGTCAATCAACTTCTCTCTCCCTACCTCCTTTTTTCCAGAGTGGCTGCGCTTCTGACTTTAGTATAACCAACGTTTGCTGAGTGATTGATATCCATTTAATCTACAGGGAGAAACTGACATTACCAGTGGTGGCAATTCTCATTAGTAAAGTGAGGTTTACGTTTGAGGTTCTCGGATCTGAGGTTTTGAGAGGGAACATTGGAGAAGCTCTCAAGCTTATCACGGGAAACTTCGGGACTAAGATCGCTCACAGGGATTCTACTCCAGGTGAGAATTGTTTTTCTTGTTTATTTGATGAATTTTGTAGCCCTGAGGTCATCTACGTAGACACTCTATTCTGTGACTAACTTTAAACCGACCAGGTATTAACTATCGTCTCCAAGAGAACGCAGAAGACTGTCACCAGGAATTGTTATTGGTGAAAAAGCACGTCCACAAACTCACTGCAGTGGACTACTCACCTGAGCTGCTTGCTCTTAAGAAAACTCTCGAACTTTTTGATTTGTGATTGGAAATAATTGTAATTCTTGTTTTATAAAAATTGTGTCAGTGACATATGATTTATCTGTTGAATGGGTTTTCTTACTGAGTAGATATACTTTTCTATTTAAATTTTAAGATCGTAAAATTAAGCCTGATTTTAGAATAAGGACAATTTTACTATCCCATTTTGTCTGGTGATATTGATTTTTTATTGTTACACTGTACTATTGAAACTTTCATGTTGAAACATTGAAAGCTTCAAATTTGTCTGATAATACTTGTAGAAATATTTCGAATAATTTGTAAACTAGTAAATAAGATATTGTGCAACGTTTGTTGGTGGTGTGGTCATATTTTCATAATTATGCATGAAATGGTTGTTTATCTTTCCATAGATTATTGTTACTGCTTCAGTTCCATTTATCTCACATTGTTATTAATATTTAGACTCATTTAATTTTCTTTTGTGCGCGTTTGTTGGATCAATAATAAGCTTAAGAGCCCGAATTCCTTCAGCGTTCCTTCGTTGCTACGTTAGACCCGATTGATAAGATTATATGTATGACAGTTATTGTCGATAATGATTCACGACATACATATTATGATATGTTTGGGTTACTGTTAAGTCCCGTTGTAAGGACGTAATTGTTTCATTTTATATGCGACCCGGATCATTTTCTTACGAAATTTTGAATGAATTGTAAGTTAACATATTGCTTTATTACCAAAATCAAATGCGGAGTATTACTTTTACTAGGCTTTCTATGCTATATAAATATTCATTTGAAATGTAAAATATTGCATTATTGCAACTCCAATAATAAAGTTGCTGGGCGGCGCTCAGCCTGTCTGCATTCCGCCGCAGAAATTTTATCTTTTATTGTTTATGAACACTATTATATATCAGCCTTGGGTCCTTAGGTAAATAAGAAAGTAACTAACGTACACATGTCACGTATATTTAACTATTATGTATTACTATTAGTTAGAAAATAATTTAGTTTATTCATAATACAATATATTTGTCTGAATTCATCGATAGCCGAATGCCATTTTGTAACAACAAGTAAATAGGAATAAAAAGCGGACGCGCGGCGTATATTTTAAAAGGCTTCTTTGTTGATTGACGATGTCAACCCTTCCAGATCGTTGCTCAGGCTCTGCAAGAATGCTAGTTTGCGCGGTGCGTCGAAGAGGCGAAGCAAACTATCATGTATCATTCTTACTTCGCATCGAAGACGAGATTGTTGCTTATTGTTTATCATTTATAAAATTCGCAGAGTTAAATATTCGCAGAGCAACGTTACCACTTACCTAGGGACCTCAGCACTCAGGCTATCATTTACCTGGGGACCTCAGGCTATTGCATATCATGTTCATAATTATAAACAGAGATTTGCTCTATCCAGAGCCCTTGCGCTTGCAGTAGCGCGCGCCCGCCTTCTTGACTTGTGAAACAAGCGCGCCCGAAGTTGGAAGTGGCGCGAAAGCACATGCAACATGGTTAGGTGAAAACAGAAATTAGGCGGAATGACACGCTGATCAGCGCGGCCCAGTAAAAAGCAACGATTTGGAAGGGTTGACATCGTCCATTCCAAAGTATTTTGTATAATATTACCTGGGGAATAAAGATTCGGCGGAATGACAGGCTGAGCGCCGCCCAGTAAATATAATATTGTTGTATGACCCGCCGCGCACGAGTGTGCGGCCCCCGTTCTCTAATATCCAGAGCCCTTGCTGCTTGCGCTTCAAGTGGCGCGCGCCCGCCTCACGGCGGTAACAAGCGCGCCCGCAGCGGCGCGAAATCACATGGTTAGGTGAAGCTCCCCCCATGTCGTTAAAACTCTCCAATATAACTTTACTTATATAGTGAAACGACAGTGGGGTCACGACGTATGATACAAATATATAAATATAAATTGCAGCCGCCCTTAAAGTTGAGTATTTTTGTTTCACGTCGTGATCCTCACCTCATCGTCATTTCATCGCGGCACAGAAGCCACGTGATATGGCCGCGCCGCGCACGAGTGCGCGGCGTGCCCACAAAGTGGGCATGAAGATCATTTGGCTAATTTTGACGGATGTAACTCGTCTAAATTTCTTCGAAGTAGCGCGCGCCGCTTTCGTCTCGAAATGTTGTGATGCAATATGATGGCAAGTGCTACAAAGTAGCGCGCGCCGGGCCAGATCATTAACAATGATGAAGGCTAATTCATGTTCAAATTATTTCGCTCGCCCGCGCCCACAAATCGTAGAGACTTGGGTTTTATGTTTTACATTTTATAATTTTGCAGCAGAGTTGTTTTAAAAACAACTTTTTGCTAAAATTGTCGTTTATTGTTAAACGTTGATTGACTGACCCTTACCTGCCAAGGATCAATAGAAAGTCCCCAATTTTAAAATTTTTACCTCCAAGCATGAAGAGCAGTCATTTTCACAAAATGAATAAATATTGCTGTTTCTTGATACCACTTCAGGATTGAACGGGTTTGCATTAATAAAGTACAACTTTCCAGGAGCAGATTTAAAAGATTCTATATTCGATAATTGATAATGATCTGATTAAATACGAGAATTTATTCTATGCTATATTTTAGAAACACATAACAGCAAATGAGCAGACTGAGATTGTTTGATCGTCGATGGTTAAAGGTAAATAAATACTGCATCATGCCTGAATTTAACTGAATTGAGGTTTTTTGTGAAATTTTAATTAATCGTAGACGTCAGTATCTTAACGGGTGATACTCGTAAAATATCTGTTCCATATATATATATATATATATACAGGACCGTCGACGAGTCCAACTCGGCGCGCGTCCTGGTAGGTTGTAAACCTACAATCAGTATCTAATCTAGAACTTCTTCCACAAATATTCATTAGATTTACTTGTTCTTTAGTTTAGCCTGCTGTTATGTTATTGATCTATCTGAAAATGTAAAAAAGTGAAGTGCGATCATGAACTTGACTCTGCATCTGACGGATAAGAAGAGAAGTCCCTTTGAGAGAAAGCAATATCGATTCTCCACTTATTACTATGTTCACCGAGAATGGACACAACACTACACACTACACTGTTTTAGATGTAATATAAGACCATGTTGTATTAATCGCAATAATAGCTATAGACGTTCGTTTGATGACGTGACATCCCTATTCACGTCATCAAACGAACGTCTAAGATTATAAGCCCACTCCTGTCAGTATTATTTAATGAACACATGAGAAATGGAACTTTTCCAGACCGACTGAAAATTGGTAAAATTAGCCCTATATACAAAAAAGACGGTACAGAATATCTCGAAAACTATAGGCCAGTATCTACCCTAGCTGTGTTCGGAAAGTTATTTGAGAAAGTAATCTACTCCCGTTTGTACAGTTTTCTTGTGTCGCAGAACGTTTTGTTTGAGAACCAGTTTGGTTTTAGGAAGAGTCACTCAACTAACCACGCCCTTAATTACTCAGTTGACTATGTAAACTCCCATATAAAGGAAAAGCAACATGTATTAGGTATCTTTATTGACTTATCAAAGGCATTTGACACTATCAGTCACGATAAACTTCTCATAAAACTTGACAAATATGGTATAAGAGGTAACGCAAACGAGCTTATTGGAAGTTACCTATCTAACAGACAGCAGTACGTTTCAGTTTTAGGTGAGGAATCTGATAAACTCCCTGTTATTTGTGGAGTACCACAAGGTAGTGTTTTAGGACCGCTACTGTTTATAATTTACATAAACGATATCTATAACTCATCAGACCTAGGAAAATTTATACTTTTCGCTGATGACACCAATATATTTGTAGTCGACAAATCTGTCCAGAATCTCTACCAAAAAGCTAATACTATAATGAATTCTGTTTACAATTACATGAAATGCAATCTTCTCCACATTAACATCAAGAAATGCTGTTACATTCACTTTACACCAGGAAAGAAGGATGTAACTAGTAGTAGTAGTAATAGTAATGATCTTATTTTAACGTTGAATAACACAGTCATTAAACGTGTTGATGAAACTAAATTCCTCGGCGTTATTATAGATAAAAACCTTAACTGGAAACCTCATACTGCACATATCTTAGTTCTAAATTAAAGTGTTAAGTCGGTAAACTCTGCCGTATGAGAAGATTTATACCTAAAGAGCTGTATAATGACCTCTACCACACCCTCTTCGAATCTCATCTAGGATATGGGATCTCAGTGTGGGGAGGCATATCGAACAATAGGCTTGAACCAATATTTAAAATTCAAAAAAAGTGCACTCGTATTCTATTTGGTGATCAAGAGGCATACAGTAATAAGTTCAAAACATGTGCTAGAACCCGCCCAATTGGATCCCAAAAACTTGGAGCCGACTTCTATAAACGAGAATCAAGTAAACCCCTTCTCAGCAGAAACAAAATACTCTGCGTGCATAATTTGTATAAGTACCACTGTCTACTTGAAATGTTTAAAATAATCAAACTTCACACTCCAATACCGATGTACAATTTATTTAAAAAGTCACCCCGACGTGATAACTACTTTATTAACCCCGCTGCAACCAATTTGTTTGTATATAAAACCTCGAATATGTGGAATAAATTCCTTAAACCTTCTAGTAAGATTGACTTCTCGTCCCCAATTGCACTTGTTAAAGGTCGCATTAAAACTATGCTACTCAATGCTCAAAAAGCTGGAAACACTGATGAATGGTCAGAACTCAACTTTGATGGAAATGACATGTGCCTATAATAAGAACATACAAACTAGTCCATATAGATTTCATACTACACACACAAAATAACACACACAATACACACCACAGTCAAACATAGAAACTATATATTCACGCATATAACAGAGAACACTGATCAGCTCATCCGCTTTACACTAGTGTCTGGACTTGTCTGGAGTGTACGTCTGGAACGTGGGACGGACTCACAAATATATTGTGTAAACGTAGCGCGCGAAACTTAAATATTGTATAACTCTATCATTTCATTACCCAGCGTGATTTACCGCGCCAGATTAATGAAATGACGCCGCGCTATATCCGTGAACCTACCGTCACTTATATCTTATATTTTATATTTTGTATCTCTTACTACGTAACGCGAAATTAAGTTGTATCACACTCCCGGTTTTGGACCCCAATGTTAACCTTGCAGCAACTGTGTCAGCCCAATATACTCTAGAAGTATGATCACACTTATTTTAATGAACAAAAGTCCCATAATTAATATAATCAGATACTCGTCAACAGCAGCAGTTTCCGTCCGTGTGATGTGTTGTCCTCCTCCTTTCTGTGTCCCCGTCGTTTTGTTTTGTGAAATGTATTGTAGTAGTGTTTTAATATTTAAATCGAACGCAACTCAATAGTTAATAATAACAAACACAAATACTATTTCAAATAATTGATTAATATCGATTTATACGAACCAAACATTAATTATTTTTTAATAACCTTTTATATATGTGTTAAACGATCCAGGGCATATCTAAAATTCGATAATGAACTTCATATATTATTAGTGCCGCGTGCTGATAAATATTCTGGGAATCAATCCACCCAATCGTGGCGATAACATATTTTTGTGCTTGGCCGGTTTTAGGTTTGAGTTTGTGCTCCAAAAGTGGTAAATCGGGTGCTAGTAAAGCTCTTGCAGGCAACTGGCTCCTTTTGCCAACTGCTTTTGGTTTAAGCGCTGACTCACATTTGGAACTGGCACTGGTATAATTGTAATATCCTACGAAGTCAGCATGCTATATTATTTTGCAAAACTCGTTTAATATCTTGACAATATTTAAAGTTTATGGATTTAGGTTTAGGCGCGGCGCACCGCTTATATGTTATAGCTCATTCAGCTTCTGTTTTCAGCGATGTGTTGCTACACACTGTATAGCATGTGGATCAAGCGCGGTGCCGCGCAAAAGCAGCAAAAGAGTTATTTATTTTAAAATTTATTTTTGTATCTCAAAAATGATGTAAAGTTTTTAATATGACGTAGAATTAAAGCTATTTCCGTACAGCCTAAGTGCTAAGCATGCTCGTTAGAAAAACTATGAACAATGAACATAACATGCTAGCTTTCTTTATTTTTGTAAGTCGCGTCGGCTGACATCTTGGGTTGTACTGGATGTAACAAGTTTATTATCGGATGTCTACTTATATTTATTATGATATCATTATTCATTGTAATGGCAATAAAATTTAAATTTTGTTTTACTTAAAAAAATTTTGTTTTACTTATAGATTGGGCTAGGTGGCCGAGTAGTAACTGGTTAGAGCAACCACCGCACCTTCTGCACATAAGGCCAGGTTCTAATCCCAGTATCAACTCTGACTCTGTCGAATGAACTGTGAGCATACCTCTTCTATGCATCTACATCTACATTTATAAACTAATCTAGGGAGATAGCTAAGGGTACGTTGAACCCTTTTAGTGTCTCCTCGGTTGACTCAGCCGAATAATCGGGTTAAATGAGGAGGGGTCCTGCCAATAGATCAAGAATCTTCATTACATTCATAAGGTTCGATATGAATTCATTAAAATAATGAGATCTTCTGTAACTGTGTAAGTAAAACAAAATTTAAGTAAAACAAAATTTAAATTTTATTGCCATTACAATGAATAATGATATCATAATAAATATAAGTAGACATCCAATAATAAACTTGTTACATCCAGTACAACCCAAGATGTCAGCCGACGCGACTTACAAAAATAAAGAAAGCTAGCATGTTATGTTCATTGTTCATAGTTTTTCTAACGAGCATGCTTAGCACTTAGGCTGTACGGAAATAGCTTTAATTCTACGTCATATTAAAAACTTTACATCATTTTTGAGATACAAAAATAAATTTTAAAATAAATAACACTTTTGCTGCTTAGGCGCGGCACCGCGCTTGACCCAAATGCTATACAGTGTGTAGCAACACATCGCTGAAAACAGAAGCTGAATGAGCTATAACATATAAGCGGTGCGCCGCGCCTAAACCTAAAACCATAAACTTTAAATATTGTCAAGATATTAAAGGATGATGATTAATCACTCTACACTCGACTGTCACGTGACTTTTTCAACCCGTTCTCTAGCTGGCCCTGAACGACTATTCGAAACCCTAACGGCTAACCCTCTTATCTGATCTCAACCCTTACCCTAACCCAATCCCTAACAAAAGCATATGCTGAAACCCTAACCCTAACGAGAAATTCGACCAACTTCCTTATACGGTCATATCACGTGATCAAGACAGTTTTTCGCCAATATCTCGGCAGGGGAGCATTTTAACCCTATGTTATGGGGGGTGATTCTGAATCAGCGTATGAAAATACATCGATTCAAGCTGGTTTCAACTGTCGGGGGCCCTCTTAGAACAATCTCGAAGATCGACTGTAGAGTGATTTAGCACGCTCGGATGTTAAACGAGTTTTGCAAAATAATATAGCAGATAATATAGTAGATTCAACTATTGCATTGCAACAGTCAATAAATGTCTGTATGCTAGGTATATTAAGATATTGATTTATGAATTGGGTGTGGAACTCTAGTTGATGATGAAGCATGACCATATAGAGGATGATACCCTGAGTCCTCTAAAAAACAAAACAGTAATATTTTAGAGTTCACAGGCTGTACGTTTAGTTCAAGCTTGGATCTTATTCTTGTGAGATTCCTTTAGTTTAGGTATCACACTGGAGATACCATATTATATAATCGTCTCACATTGATTATTGAAATTTGTGCACTTCTTTTTTTAATAATTTTTTATTTTTAATAGAATTATATGTATACGCACTAACCTTTTAGAACCCATTACTTTGAAGTAAGAGCATCTGGAAGATCTTTCGATTTTTATGATTGACCTTATTGGGACCCCCAGTCCCCTAGCCTCTACTCTTTAGCATAAATAATTTCTCGTAATTTGTGCTGACGTTAGTATCTGGAGTCAGCGTAAACTGCATCCTCAGATACCTTGACTCCAGCTGCGCTCATGGAGAGTAACGAGTTGGTGTTCGGCAACCATATACACAGCCTGCCGTGCACACAGCCTCACATTGTTGAGAAATCCTAAGTTGTGGCTGTAAGGGTCGTGCGCAGGATCTATTCAATTGTTATCTTACAATTACATGTCACATTTACTAATTACTAGAGCCAAAATTTCAGAAAAAGAATAATTTTGGGAAATTTCTGTCGTTTGCGCAGTACGGGCCGTGAACACTGCGATGCCAAACAGTTTGCTGTCGTGTGATCCCGCCCGCCCCCTTCCCACCTCTAAACTTAATTTTCTGCCATTAGATTTTGTATTACAAGCAAGAAGAATTCTAATAAAGTTTGTTTCAGGATGCCTACCATTACTGTCACCAGAGATATTCTTTATGAAAGATTAGGATGTACTTTCACAGAAGAAGAGTTTGAAGATGAATGTTTTGATTTTGGTATTGAACTTGATGATGTTGTTCAGGAAAATGGTATTACCAAATTTAAAATAGATATTCCTGCTAATCGCTATGACTTGCTATGTGTGGAAGGACTCTCTAGGGCAATGAATGTTTTCAGAGAGCGATCGAAAGCTCCACGCTTCATTGTTAAGCCAAGTAGGGAGACCATGACAGTTGATGATTCTGTTAAATCTGTCCGCCCTTATTGTGTTGCTGCTGTGCTCCGGGATATTACTTTCACTGAAGAGATATATAACAGCTTCATTTTGCTACAGGACAAGCTTCATCAAAATATTGGAAGAGAAAGATCTTTAGTATCCATTGGAACACATGATTTGGATACTATACAAGGTCCCTTTACTTATAAAGCTACACCACCTGAGGAAATCAAATTCCGGCCACTTAATCAAGATACAGTGATGACTGCTAATGAGATGTTTGAAAAATTCAAACAAACATATCTGAAGCCATACCTGCAAATCCTTGAGGGTAGCCCAGTTTATCCGATAATTACTGATGCTAACGGAGTTGTGCTTTCTTTACCTCCCATTATTAATGGCGAGCACAGCAAAATTACCCTGAGCACCAAGAATATCTTCATTGAAATTACTGCTAAAGATCGGGAAAAAGCCAAGATTGTTCTGGATACAATTTGCACCATGTTCAGTGAACACTGCTTGGATCAGTTCAGCTGTGAAGCAGTTGAGATTGTAACAAGTAGTGGTTCTGTTACTACTCCTAAAATGGGGTACAGAACAGAGGTTTGTAGTGCTAAAGAAATGTGTTTAAAAAGTGGAATTACCGACCTTTCACCAGATGATGTCGCCAATCTCCTTTGCAGAATGTATCTACCTTCAAAATGTCAAGGAGATGAAGTTTCTGTTGAGATTGGTCCAACAAGACATGACATATTGCACCAATGTGACATAGAAGAAGATGTTGCTATTGCTTACGGGTACAACAACATAACAAAGCAGATACCAGATATTTACACCATAGGTACAGAACAAGAGGTTAACAAGCTTACTGACAGTGTGAGGGAAGAACTCGCTAGAGCAGGATTCACTGAGGTTCTCACATTCTCTCTCTGTTCTAGAGATGATATTTCAACTAACCTCAGGATCCCCAAAGCAATTGATAATGCAGTTCAGATCGCTAATCCAAAGACCTTTGAGTTCCAAGTTGTGAGAACTCAACTTCTCCCTGGCATACTGAAAACTGTGAGCTGTAACAGAAAGATGCCTTTACCTCTCAAGCTTTTCGAAGTTAATGACATAGTTATAAAGGAAGAAGATGCTGACACAGGCTGCAAGAATTTGAGGAATGTTTGTGCACTATACTGTGGAAAAACATCTGGTTTTGAAGTTGTCCACGGTGTTTTGGATCGGCTCATGATGGCACTCAATGAAAAGAATTACTCCATTCAACAATCCTCTGATCCTATGTTCTTCTCTGGAAGAGGAGCTGATGTACTTTTGGGAAGTAAAAAAATTGGACACTTAGGAATCTTACATCCGGAGGTTTTAGAGAAATTTGAGATTTCTTTACCTTGTTCGGTGCTTGAAATTAATCTAGAGCCTCTGATTTAGAATATTTTCGTGTTTTAAATAATTTATCTTCATAAGTAGGCAATTGATTAGGAAAAAATATGGGTCATATTCAGCCAACTTTAGGTTTTAAAGTTAGAGACAGTCATTCATTTATTTAATCGATTTTTCATTTTGTTGATGTACTTTTAAGTACTGCATAATGCATTATATAATAGAACAACTTGAATCTCGTTTAATTAGAATTCACAGCAGATATATGAGGGTTAAAGCATATTAGGACAATAGTATTACCGTTGACAGTGTTTTTGATCTTGAGTTGAAAGTGTAAATTCCGTCTTACTTTAAATTGTTCATGGAATGAGCTAGATAGGCCTTGGTTTTACTTGTTTCAACTTTCCTTCAACTATGCAAATTATCATTACCTGTTGGCTGTTGGGAAATGGTCTATAAATAACTAAAGAATACCTTGATTAGTATGATTTCCTGTAAAAGTTGACCCCTACAACCCCTAGAAATGGTACCAGAACTATAGCATGGTATGGGACAATGCGTAAGAAAGTTAAGCAATCTTCTCGAGGAGACAGAACCTGCTCCGCACAGTTACAAGGCCTCTATCCGTGCCAAGGAAACTGCTAAAGCTACTCACAAGGGTAACCTGTTGCTCACTGACAATGAGATTCTCTTCTATGAAAACAAGAAGGTGAGCTTTAATGTTTTGGTCATCCAAATAGATATAATAGAGTATTTTTTTTTTCGAAAGCAAAGAAATATCTTGCTTGTTTTGCGAGCCATAATTCGATCTATTCAAAAATTCAATATTATGATAATACTTTATTTATGTACTATTGTGATTGATAATTACTAACTGATTGGGGACTGGCCCGTAGTACCAGTCAGTGTTTACTCAAAAATATATGATTATTTTAATAAGAAATATTCATCCACACACAAATATGTATTCGAATTCAAAACTTTTTATTTCAAATTCCATCGGTTGATTCTAAAGTCTCTGATCTGTAATATTTGATAGGTTTACAAATTTATAGGAAATACTTTACTTGCTGATACAGCCGCAATTAGGCGTCTTATCAGTACAGGTATGCGCTAAATGGGAGTGAAATATGAAATGTGTTGTGGCTAGTGATTTCGAGTGATATCCTGATTTAAATGCACTTTGTGCTATTTCAGTTTGGCAGCTATTTATGTCCGCTGTTTAGAATATTTTTTAATTTCGTAATCCGGTTAAGTTATGAAGTAAGAATGGTGGCTATTCTTCGTTACTATTATAAACTATTTTCAGCAAGAACCACTTTACCAGTGGGAGTTCCAATTTATCAGAAAATATGGAACAGAAAAGAAAGTATTCTCTATTCATGCAGGATCACGAACAAAAACTGGAGAGGTAAAAACCCTCGGTATTTTGATGTTATGTATATCACAAGATTCAAATATTACGGTTATCGCACGATTCATACGGCCGTTTTTTGTGTCTGTGAAATGTGAAGAAACCTGCAAACTTGTAATTCGGTGAACCGGCCACAGCATATTTTTATTGAAATTCGAAATACTTCCAGCCGACTTTACCTAAAAGATATCAATTCCTGGGTGAACCCGGAAATATGGATCATGGCTCATGTTTCAGGTTATATTGTTATATTGACCGTGTAACACACTACAAATACACATTACAGGGCCAGTACTTGTTCCGGTGCCGGAAAGCGGAGCAGCTTGGAGAAGAAATACAGAAACGTATTGATGCTATGAGGGAAAAATACGAGAGCACTAAACACTGTCAGAAACGATATCCTAACTCCGGTCACTCCGGTTCAGGTGAGGGAACCTTAATGAGGGGCTTATAAGGGGTTGCTGCTCTTTTAACATGGCACCTTGTTTAAATATCTGTTTAACTTTCTAATTCTCCTCGTTTTATTTCTCTGAAAATGTGGTGGCTAGGAACCATGGTTAACCTGAATCTACTTGTTGCGCTGTATTACTTATAATAATTGACGTGTAGGTAGCAGTAGGTCCACAAGTAGGATGTCCCGCCAGCGCTCCACTGGTGAGCATCATACCCCCTCATACCTTGATTCTCTTCTTTTACACTCTAGTTACAGCACTAATGCATGCACCTTAATTAAGGAATGGAAATTGCATAAAAATTTAACTATTATTTACTTTCTTTTGTCACTATTTAGCCGATACGGTATTATTATAATCATTGTTCTTTGGAAGTTTACTGTTTGATTTTTAAAAATTTATACAATATATATATCAACTAGCATTATGATTCAGTGGTGCGAAGCATTGTTTTTCTTTGGATTTTTCTTCGCACGATTTCTTTTTGATTTGACGCAGTTTGTAATCTACTTTAACACCTAGCCTTGTATGATATACTCTTCACTGAGCTGTATTGATTAGCTGATGTATTATTTAAAACCCTCTCTCTCTCTCTCTCTCTCTCTCTCTCTCTCTCTCTCTCTCTCTCTCTCTCTCTCTCTCTCTTATTTTAACAATATATTTAACATTTTACCAAAGTACTACACCGAACACTAAGGTTTTATTAACACACTTTGCAGCTCAAAATTTAACATTTACACTCTTTTCTATAAAGCTCTTTCTATCCTCAGAATCGGGCCCGGGTTCGTCCTCTGCGCAGCGCCCCTCCAACTCACACGTGTATTCGCTTGATAATGAAGCAGACGGACCCCAGACAGAGTACATCAACCTTCAAGATGATCAGAATTATGAGAACGTGAAATCACCGCCAAAACGTCACCGTAGTACCAAGCACAGCGTACAGGAGGACCCCAATAACACACAGAGCTACATTGAGGTTTTCTTATCTTCGTTTATGAAATATGATAGTGAGAATTGTTTAGATCTCTTGATACTGGTCGATCAAATGCAGAATAGATTAAGAGATCAAATCAAATCAAAAACATTTAAAAATGACATTTCAAATCACACTAAATTTCTCGGTGACAATTCCTCGGAATATAAAGAATAACTTTGCTCACACAATTATATCAGAATGTATACTAGAATCTTCATTGCGAAGGCAAATGTCAATTGATATTTTCAAAAAAAATAATGTGATTTATTTCTATTTCCTCTTTAGAAAGTACAAGAGTATTTGATTAGTGGTTTTTTGGTTTTTTGACAAACCAAGATACAGGGTGTCCCAAAAAACACTACCCAATAAGAAACTCTCCTAGTTTTCTCAGTTTTAACTCTTTGGTTCTGATCTCTTGGTATTATTTTCTAAAGGATTAGGAGATTCGTTTAGGACCATTGGGAGTGTCATATAAGCTTGATGGGCAACATATTTTCGATCTTAAAGATATGCGAAAAAATCTTGGTGTGATCCCAGAATAGGTGATAGTTTTCGTCCATGATGGAATCCTAGTTTTGTAACGTTTAGACAGTCCCAAGTTGTAAACCAGGTATATGCAGACACAATAGAAAGTCTTCTTCGCATTGAGAACTGAAATTGAGGTTTTTGATATGGTGCAGGGTCTTTTTTGGAGCATTTTCGGGCCACACCCTTTTTTACCTTTAATTTCGCCCTATTTTCGTATTATTTTAAATTTTTGGATACACTACTCTGTCAGTACACTTACCAAGAAACATCTAGGACCATTAAAGCTAGAAAATCAACGACTTTCGCATAAAAAATTGCCTAGTTTATATGCAAATTTGGTATATCGTCCATTTTTGGCCTTTGGGTTCCAGGCCTGCTGGGAAAATGACCATTTGTGAGCACCTATTGGGATTTTAAGCATCAAAAGAGGTGTTCATGAGTTAGATGAGACAACACGGAACAGTTTACAATCAATTTCATGAAAAAAGGTTTTTTTTCCTCTTGGCTCAGCGCTCCGAATGGTGGACAAGCCCATAATTTTAAGACTTTTTCGAACAATTTTTGAAATTTTTCAAATAAGGACTCAAAATAGTTTGCTTAAGTTTCAGAAGTCACCAACAAATCCCCCAACCCTTCCCGTAAACATACTAAAACATGAGTGCCATTAAAGAAAAATTGAGAAAATTAGAAGAGTTTCTTATTGGGTAGTGTTTTTTGGGACACCCTGTATGTTTTATATTTTCTTCTTTCAATCCCAGTCAATGTATTTCATATCCGTTCTCTTAATATAAAACATTTCAGTTGGAACAGAGGACGGAAGACAGCATGTCACCGCGCCTAAACCCTGCCGTGCAGCCGCGCCCAGAACCAGAATCCGTCATCAACTACATCGAGGTCGATATTCAGACTACACAAGCCATGATTTCGATATCACAGAACAAAGACCTCTGATCTCGACTCTCCTGGGCAGGATGTCACGTGTCTCGCCCATCTTATATAGATTCGTTTTAGGATTCACCGATTGTAATTATGTTGATTGATTTCAAATATATGTGTGGGCATTAAACTTTTAATTTTGACCTTGAAAATTCGAAACATTAGCTGATACCGTGCACACATTCTTTGTATGATTAAAGTGATGATATTATTTGCATAATACATATGAAAAAAAACATGCATTCATGTGTGCAGCTTTTCTACTCAAAGTCAAATTATCCTAAAAAATTTCGCCGAAAACTCCAAAATCTTTTGTTTTGTATTTAAAAGAATTAAGTTTGTTACTAAGTTTACTCTTAATCCCAGCACTAATATCTATTATTGTTTTATATGGATGGTTCACAGACTTATAACGTGTAAACTTTTTATGATTGGGCGATTAAATCATTCTCCGTAAATTTAAAATAAGACTGAAAGACAGTGAGTAAAATGGTATCGGATATTCGCTTTACAAGGATCTTGGCAGAAAATGCCATATTCTGTAAACTTGTTCAATATTAAATCTCATGAGCTCAAGTTGTTGATACTGAAGAAGGGTCCTCATAAAACTAAATACAGTATCCCATATTTACCTGATTGAATATGTGAATTCCGCCTACTTTTTATCAAACAAACTCCCTAGAACTAAGATTTATCATAACATTAGCATTATCCTTCCTAATCTATTACAACTCTCTGGCTTTTCCCCAGTTTTGCTTAATACATGGGAAATATTAACTGTTTTGTAGGGTATTTGGTAGACAATAATGTTAACTGATGGCTTTTCGCTTAATAAGAGATAATTGGCAGTTGCCAGTTTCACTAAAAGTGGGGAAGTGGTATAAGTTTACGTGCTTAAATGAAAAACTGATCTCTTCCACGTGTCATATCTTATCGTAAATAGTTTGAATATTTTATCTTGTTTGAAAGCGTTAAAGTTTCATATTCATTATTTGGGTTTTGATTTGAAGATTCGCGGTGCACCAACCGTAATTTTGTTTTTTGTAATCGATTTTTATTTACCAATCTGTTCTAAACATTTGACACGTCATGCAAGCTAAATCATTTGTATTGCATTTCAAAGGTGCAAATAACACTGGTCAAGGTACAAAAGCGTGTACCATTATTATGTGTCAAATGTTAAACCCAGTTTTACTAGCCTTCCTACATCACGAGAACGTGACGCTCTTAAAAGAGGTGCTATGATATAAAATTCTATATTTCAGCTCAGGATTGAATCAAATACTAATAAGTTAGTGATGACATAATGTCATCGGATGATTTGTATACTGTTAAATTTTAGTACACAAACATCTAACAACATTCCAAACAACTTCCTTGAGATCACTTGAAAAGTTTCAGCGCCTCTGTCCTATGATGCCTGATGTCATACTGCCAATAAGACTTTAAAGTCTTGATTTGGGATTATACATACTATCGCACCCTCTTTTGAAATGTGAAAATATTTGGATTTGTGCCTTGACTTTTCAATATACCAGAGTAGCCTTTATTGCTTTTAAATTGGATTAGTTAGGCTTTGATAAACCGATTTATTACATGTTTATATAATTTCTTATATATCTTTACATCTTTATACTATCACGTTAATTTTATTTATACTTTTTGCAGAGTTTTATATGGCATTGCATTTCTGGCTCCTGTTTTATTGTTTATAGATATTGAAGAGGAATAATGTTCGACCTTTGATGTCTGCCCACATTAAACCTTTTTTAATGTACATGTTAAGAATTTTGCGTGCGTATGACCAAGCTCTGTGACTCCCTCATATTTTCAATTTACGTTTTCGAAAAAAGCATCAAGCATGAATCATGTATTGTAAAAATGTCGCTGATCTTGTATTTTTCTGTATAATAATTCTATAAAACTGAATGCATTTTATTGAGGTCGCAGAGTACATTATTTTAAAGGTATTTGAACGACACATATCTTACATATGGCGTGATAGATAGTATTTTATCTCCAATAGAATTAACTTCTTGTACTTATATAATGTAAAATGAGTCAATAAACAGCATTTATCAAATTGAGACAAATTGTATAAATTGTTTGTTTGTAAGTAACATAAGTAATGGAGATGAACATGCAGTACTCGTATGAGTCCTATCAGTAGACTAGGGCACAACCAGCTATGCAAGTCGCGCAGTGGCTTTTAATCAACGATCATTCACGTAGCGCGCAATGATATTTACACTTATCAAGGCAAATCTAGCGCACGTACGTTTGTGTACACGTGATATATATATAGCTCTCGCACCAATTGCCCTATGATATGAATCTGTTCGGTACTCACGTTAAACAGCTACTGGCGAGATAACATTATTGGACATTTTACTATCAACTCGTCTCCATCTATCACCTTTCTTTAAAACACATTGTTGCCATAGATACGGGAAACTTTTGCAGCTTGAGCACGTGCGAGAACGGAATCACGTCAGATCTATCACTGTGACATGTAATACGTTTATCAGTTTAGGTCCCGTATGACAGAGATTTTAGCTTTTATTTACTGGCTCCGTAACAAGGACGCAAACCCTGAATTACCATATTGAATCGAGTCAGACATCAGAAGATTCTAGAGATTCACAATTTTGTTAGAAAAATTTACTTATTACTGGATGCTTAAGATTCTGCTTAAAGATGCCGACTTGCAGTACTTTCAACTCTCCCCAAAAGTGCAAGAAATGCCTCAAAGATTTTACTGAAATTTGGATTCCCAACAAGGAATGTTGCATGGTTAGTATATTTTGCCTGGATTCCCGATTCTAGCTCCAAAAACAATAATAAAATCACTTAAAACGATCTCGCACATTGTGCCAGTATGAACGATAAAGATCAAACTACGTCATCATTTAATAACCTTCAATCATAATAAGTAATAACGGCAATCACAAATTTTCAGATAGAGCGGCTCAATGCCCAAGTTGATGATGATTATTTTCAAAGGCATGAAATAAAGAAGCTGCGTAACAGAAGTACCGTTCGAGATCTTCACTCCTTTGTGACGCATAATACAGGGACACCTTTTTATACATTACAAGTAAGAATTGTTATTAGGGATAAATATGTACATCTCTCAGAATATTGTTGTTTCAACTCCTATTATGATCTGCCCTTTGAAAATAGTACTAAAGTTCAAATACTGATACCTTTTAATTTAAAATTCGGGTAGTGATCCAAATTTAAATTTCAGAAGCCCACATGCGGATCCAATTTCTCTCCCGACACAGACCACAAGAAGTATAAACATGGGGTACTGCCGGCGGATCTATCCAAGTGGCAGAACAAGAATTACGATCTCCAACAACCGATTGTACGGCCATTGGCATTAGCTAGTCAGGTCCCAAAGAAGTTGTAGGCTTGATAATTTTACGGTATTTTAGCAATTTGCATCGGTTTCATTTTTCATATTCGTTACGGACTTCATAAAATTAAAAATAAGAATGTAATTAATATAATTCTTCAAAGCAACTTGTAATAAGTAATAACTGTAAAAATAATTCAGAGCTTAATATTCATTAAAAAAAGAGCAAATGGTCAGATTCGTGTCGCAAGATTATCAAAATATTGCAACTTGCTATTTGAATTATGTTCATCAGAAAAATCTCATTAAAATAGAAATACCAATACAATGATTTATCTGATGATAGTTAGTACATTGTGATAGTATACAATGCTCAATGCTGGCACTTCGATACCATAGACAATAACTTATAAATTCACAAATCATCGGTACAGATAAGACAATAAAATGACGATTTGTTACATTATCACGATATCATTGGAGTCATTGGTTCTTCTATCGCAGTTCTGTGCGATGATAGTTTCCAAGTGAACGCAGATAAGCTTTAAAATACCACTAAAGTCTCTGCACTGATGCAGATTTTAGTTTTCTGTTCATTGCATTGCGACGTTAATATAAAAACTTGAGGTTCTGCCGTGGTGTTTACAGTCGAACTGTGCGGTATAAATAAAGATCATAGCATGTTTGAGGGTGTTTTATCTAGCTACAACTAAAAATGTGTATAAAAACAAGCCCCCTAGAGTCACTGAGTTCACAGAGCGATTGTCTGAGTTTGATTCTGAGGAGGCAGTGTCGTCATTAAATTCGTCCACTTGACGGGCATTAGTGTCTGCTATGTTCATGTTATACATTGGGTCTAAGTCACTTTCAACGGTATTACTGAGTTCACCTTCAGGAGCCTTAGTATTTGCTTTTATAGGTCCCTCAACGCTCGGTCTCTCCGTTGTGACAGAGCCTGGTGTTGTGAACGAACTCAGAGTTTCGAATTTTTTTTCAAATACGGGAGGTTCGCTTGTGCCTTCCGTTTCTGGGTCTGATTTTGACACGTTAAAGAGTTTTTCGTTCAATGATGTGCGATTCGCGAGTTCGAGCGCCTTCACCATGAGTCTAACAGCTGATTCTTGCAATTCTGTTAACTCCATATCTGCTGTCTCCGGGTTAATTTCCTGCTCCTCTTTTGTGTACGAGTACGCTAAGTGCTGGTAGTTCCCTGAGAAAAAGCAAAATGTTATGCTTGTCGAAGAAGAGTGATGTTCTTATATTTTCACTTCGAGATGGCCAGGCCTACTCTCATGCTGTCTATAGGTGATGATTAACTCTGAAAAACTAGGGACAACTGGGGAATGATCCCAGAATCTCGACATTTCGCGTAACTTGCTCTACCAATTGAGCTACTGACCCTGATTCTCAGAGCGAAATCACCACTCATATACAGCACAATTTCATGCTTTGTGTGGAATATCATTTATCAGTTATTTAGAATATATATTCGCATGTAACCACACTAGATACGCGAAATGTCGAGGTTCTGGGATCATTCCCCAGTTGTCCCTAGTTTTTCAGAGTTAATCATCACCTATAGACAGCATGAGAGTAGGCCTGGCCATCTCGAAGTGATAATAATAATTAATTGTTTCGCAGATTGGCAATTGATCGGTGTAGCTGGTGTTGTACACACTGCACTGATAATGATATCACGTTGAACGTGTAATGTAAATATAGTGTGGTTACATGCGAATATATATTCTAAATAACATTCTTATATTTCCAATAAGATTTTAGTTTTGTGCTATTGCAACTGTAATCTCGCTTATCTGAGATACTTAAATAACTTTAACTAAGGGCAATTCACTTTATGTATAATGGACTACAAATGGCCTTTAACAAGACGACGGATATCCCTGACATTACTATCACCCCATCCAGCGCTACTGATATCAAACTGACCGAAGCGCAGACCTCTTACTTAACTGAGCAAGGCGGATCTAGTTTGTTGGATAGTAATCCAATCATCAGGTCGCCCTCTGAGACCCATGCGTCACTTCATCTGGATGTAAGCAAAGATGATCTCAACGTTGGCCCTGTATCTCCCGAAGACACCGAAAGGACAGTTATTCTTGTGGAGAACCATACGGTCCCTCCCGAGACACTTATTGCTTGTGTTGCTCATCTTCCTGAACCCATCCTCAACGAGGAACTAACGAGGAATGGTTGCTCTACAGAAGGATCTATTACAGAAAGGAGAGCAAGAATGATGAATGTGATGTCTAGACCCAAAGAACCAGCAAGGAGCTCTCTGAATAAGCACTTAGACTCGAAACTCCCCTCTCTCGCATGGGTCCAGACGATTATCGAGAACCAAGTTATTGACGTTAAGCAGGAGTTGGAGAAACTTACATCTGAGGTTAACAGCCTTAAGTGCTCCGATACTAGCATCCAGCAAATCGAAAAACTCCTCGAGGTTGGCAAGAAGGAAATGCAAAAGGTCAAAGACCTCTGGGAGAAAAACCTGTCAGCTACTACACGGATCAAAAACAGAGTAGACGAGGTTTTCACGGAGATTTCTATAGCAGAAACGAAAACGGACGAAGTAGACAAAAGTGTTCAAAAACTAAAATTTGACCTCAAAAACTACTACAACAGTGCATTCTTTCGGGAAGACGGACAGTTGATTAAAGAAATTCACAAAATAGTCACTCAGTCAGAAGGATGGAATGGCGCGATCAGTACCGATGTCCCACCTGACTATTCCCCTAATGACGATGATTTAGCATACACTCCACCCTACCAACCTCCCTCACCCTTTCGAGATCAAAGAACTCACAGTAGAGAAAACAACCTACTGTCCCGAAGAAACAATGGATTCAGCATGACTTCCTCGACTTCTCGAGCTCAGACCTCCACTCAAGCTCAGAACTCCAACTTTACCAGAACTCAGAACTCCAATTTCACCAGGACCCAGAACTCCGACTTCACTAGAACTCAGAACTCCGACTTCACCAGAACTCAGAACTCCGACTTCACTCGTCAAACTTCAGGATCCACCACGCCCTCAAAAGTGTTCAAGACGACCCTCATCTCAGACTCAATCCTGAGACATGTCCAGGGTATGGACACCAAGAATGCCCTCGGAAAGAATCATGAATTGACCCTAATCAACAAGCGGGACACAGGTGGACTTAAAGACCAACATGTCAAAGACGAATTATTAAGAACACAACCTGATTTCATCTATGTTCACCTAGGAGTCAATGATGCCAACCAACAGTTCGACCTAAGAGTAAGTCTCGACAACATATTTCAATTTTCACTATTCGTAGAGGAATCCCTGATAGGTACAAAGTTATTCTTTTCAATGCCACTAATGACATCTGACAACGAAGCGAACGCAAGGATTGGTGAGATAAGGGATGCAATTTGGGAATTTGTGACCGTGACTAATAAAAACGAACGAAAACCCTTCAAAGAGCGGTCTTTGTACTATAACCCCAACGCCAACTTCATGCATGATAACCATCTGACAGGAGAGTATCACACGAACGATGGAGTCCACCTTTCAACAAGAGGCAAAGAGGTCATTCTAGGAAACTTCCGTCACAGTATCCATGAAATGACAAGATTGCTTCTCAACAAGCCAAAGAAAATTCGCTCTACAGGAGGATTGGAACCTTCTCCTCTTAGTCGAACGTGATTACACTCACATAATATATTCTCATTTATACACATAATACCATGACTAGAAACAAACAAAAAAATACACAGGTTTCAATTAATAAAAATAGCATAAAAATACTCTCTTGGAATATCCAATCGCCTTCATCAGTAGATGGTAGCAAATTTGAAATAGAATCATTTCAAAATGTTATCAAAGATCATGACATAGCCTGTCTTCAGGAAATTAGGAGAGAGGTTCACTTGGTAGGATATCGATCAATCTGCAACATAAGGAAAGACGGTAAATCAGGAGGTGTCGGTATACTCATTAAAAATGAGCTTATTGAAGGGATTGAGTTTATCAAGAATACAGAGTGTTCAGACTACCTAGTTTGTCGACTAGACAAGGATTTCTTTAACCTATCAGAAGATACATTCATAGTTAACGTTTACATTAGACCATTTAATTCATCAGCCTCAAACCCGACTGACAATGGCAAAGATGCTTTAAAAAACATTGAAGACGTTGTGAACGAACTTCGGGAGGAGGGCGAAGTCATACTGTGTGGGGACTTTAACTCTCGTATAGGACAAAAAACGGGTATGATAAGAGAAAACTCAACCAACGTTGTTCCCTTACCAGACGATTATGAGCCTGACAACTTTCTCCCCCGAAACTCACTAGACTCTATCACAAATACTTACGGTACGCACTTTCTTAACCTAGTCAAACATAACCAACTCACTATTCTGAATGGCCGTACCCTAGGAGATCTTGTAGGAAACTTCACAAGTATCCAAAAAAATGGGTGCAGCGTTATTGATTACATTGCAGTGACCAACTCCACAAAGATCAGAATTAACTACTTCAAAATCTTGACATTCACCGAACATTCTGATCATAGGCCCCTCAGTACTGAATTAAAATGCAATAGTTTCGCGATCAACCAATGTGCCCCATTACAGGACACATATCAGACAGCGCCAACCAGATTCATTATCAACGAAGAGAACAAAGACAACTTTTTCGAAGCTCAGTCAGAAAATCTATCATTGACCTTAATCCAAGAACTTCAATCGAACATCGACTTACTCACCAATCAAAATATTTTAGCAGACAATGTCCGTAATTATGAAACTGAACTTAAAGACATTAACAAACGACTTTCAGAACATCTTCGCGACATGGCCTCGAAGTGTTTCAAACAAACCAAACCACCCAAAAAATCTCACACCTCAAACAAACCTTGGTTTAACTGGAAAACGAGATTAGGTAAAAGAGAATTTCGTAAAGCTACAGATGCAACCTCAAAATTCCCGTCAAACAACCTTATACGTGAAAACTATTATCTTGTCAAGGGTAGCTATAAGCGTTTGAAGAACTCTGCCAAAAACGAATTCTTCGCACGTATGAATGAGGATATAGAGGGGGGGAAAATTCTCAATTGGCAATCTTTCAAAAAACTAAAAAATCAGAAAAAGGAAACTTTAAATTTTGACAGTCATGATATGAATAGATTCGAGACTTTTTTTGGTAACCTATATTCTGATAACCACAAAACAATAAATGAAAATAAAAAAGTTTCTATGATTGATCAAGCTGACTTGATAAATCAAGGTGCAACTCATCCTGAGTCACTCAACAGCTTAATCACCACAACAGAACTTGACTCTAGTATAAAATCCCTCAAAAATGGTAAAGCTTCCTCACTCGACATGATTAATAACGAAATTATAAAATCTCTGGACACCAATCATAAATTGATTATGTTGAACCTCTTTAACGCCTGCTTCTTACAAGGAATTTATCCCTGGAACGTCAGCATTATATCTCCACTTCATAAAAAAGGAAATAAATCGGATCCTGACAACTACCGTGCAGTTGCTGTCAGCAGTGTCATAGGAAAACTCTTCTCAACTATTCTCTTAGAAAGACTCATTCACTTCCGCTCTGAAAACTGCCCTGATCCACCTAACCAACTAGGCTTCACAAAGAAAGCTCAAACATACGATCACATACTAACCATGAAAACTATAGCATCAAAATATAAACTTTTGGGGAAACCTGTATATGCAGTATTTGTTGATTTTAAAAAAGCATTCGACTCAGTCTGCCGTCAAGCCCTTTTCCTCAAACTCGCAAAAAATGGCATAACTGGAAACTTCTACAATGTCCTCAAAAATATGTACTCAAACTCGTACGCTTACATAAAATTATCTGGTCATCTCAGTAAACGCTTTCAGATACGTAAAGGTACAGAACAAGGTCACCCACTCTCACCTGACCTTTTTAAAGTTTTTCTCAGTGATATGTCCTGCCTCCTAGATTTTCCAAATTGCCCCGTACTTTCAAATATTACTGTTAGCCACCTGCTGTGGGCGGATGACCTTATACTCCTTTCACTCGACCAGGAAACCACCCAAATGCAACTTAATATTCTCGGTAATTTTTGTAAGGAGTGGGGCATTGAAATCAATGAACTCAAAACTCAAGCAGTCATCTTTGGTAAGAAAGCGTTAAAACAGGACGTACAAAACATCAAATTTACACTCAAC